GGCTGCCGAGTGGCCTCCGCCGGCCGGAACCGCCCCGGCGGGCCGGGGAAGCCAGAACCCCACCCCCGTCCCGGAGCCTCGAGAGGAGCGGGCGGGTGCCGGCGGTCCACAGTCCCATTCGGGCGGGCTGTCCATGCCTGTCAGGCAGCGGCCCAGGGTTCTCCTCCCCTCAGCCCGGGGCGGGGCAACGTGAAGCGCGCGGGCACAGGCCGGGGCGGTGGCGACACTCACCCATGGTGGCGATGGCGGCGGTATCGGCTCGGGCCTGAGTGTCACCTCCGCAGCCGGAGCTGCATGCCGGGGGCCTGGGCGGCGGGGACGGCAGCGGGCCTGGCTCCGCGCGGAAGGCGCGGGCTGCGCTCGGGCCCCCCGCCGCCTCCCCAGGCTCCGGCTCCGGCTCCGCCCGCGGCCGGGCGCTGTGGCATGGGCAGGGTGGGCCGCTACATCCCCGGCGCTCCTCGGCTCGGCCCAGCCCGGCCTTGGCGGCGCCGCTCGGCCCGCCCGCCTGCCAGTCCCTCAGCCCGGCAGTCGCTCCGTCCGGCCACCGTTCTCCACCTCAGGAACGCTCCGAAAAACAAACCGCTGGTCGCGCAGCTCGTCCCCTTGCCTGTCACTCACCGCAGTGCCCGCCAATCCCAGGCAATTACTGGACCTTCGTACCACCCCTACCCACCTCACCAGCCAATAATGAGGAAGTCACCGCCCCCACTGCCCACGCCCACCAAGCCTCTTCCCAACACCCTCTCAGCCGCCTGCTAATCATCAGCACCACACGATGGACCAATCCCGCCTACTCTCACAGGATGCCAATGGACGAAGTGAAGGCGGTTTCCGAGGGCTGTCTACCTTCTGCCAATCAGCTAAACAGCACCGGTTCACTCCGCGGCTAGCCAATTACGTAGGACTCTGAGCACCCGCCTCTGCGCATCCCTCGCCCGCCCTCTCCCCGGGAGGTCTGGGTTGCTCCAATCACAGCTCGTGGGTGAGGCTCCGCCCGCCTTCCCACCTCCCATCAGTTACTGAGGCTCCGCTGGCGCGCGGGCTGGCGCAGTTCCCCGCCGGCTACTTTGGGGCTGGAGTTTGGGAAAGCCGTTGGAGAAACACAGCGGCCTCTCGCCCTCCCGGTTCTCGACGGTCCCTGAGGCTGGCGTCCTGCCCGTCACTGTGCTCACACTAGGTGCATAATAAGCGGGACGGGTTCTGTCTCTGAGCGTTTCCCGGCGTGTGGCCACCTCTGCTGCCGATCCCCTGGCCAGTCCACCGGTCCATACACTGCGCTTGCCCGGAGGCAGGGGTGGCCTCACCACTGCCCGCCTTTTCCTGGGTCTCAAACCTTCGGGGCCACACCCTTGGAGGGGCTGGGGTAGTGCTGGAATGTGGGTCCTTGGAAATCTGCGAGTGTACTGCGGGCCAGGGCCGAAACCAGTAAGTGGAAATTCCAGAAAGGTTCTTTCGGGGTAAAAAAACCATATTTCTCTCCTTACAAAAGCAATACAAGCAAAAGTAAAAATACCACCCCGGAGATAACTTTATCTCTTTCCTACCTAGATAATACAATGTCTGACAAAAATGGTTTCATATTGTTTGGTAATATGCTTACATTTTATTGTTAAGTATTTTCCCGTGCCACTGAATATTGTTCCAAAACAATTCCACTGGCTGCATGATATTTCAAAACAGAGAGTGACCATAATTAATTTCCCAACCCCCATTGTTCAACATCTTATACACCCAGATCTGCAGATTCCAAGTCCACCACAATTAATGTGGGTTCCCTTCCTCTAGTCCCTGTTCCAGTGTAATATAAATCAGAGTCCAGAATAATCTTCCTCAGATGCCGTTTTCAACTGTCAACTAAGGGCCTTTAGTGGTGGCTTTACCTTGGCTGTCAAATCTTAAGAACTACCTTAGACTACCCTCTTTCTTTACACCTTCTCCCTCCCCCAATATTTAATCAGGCACCTTGTTTTGTTAGTTTATTGGGGTTTTTTTTCCCCCTTCAACAAGCTTTTAAGTCTGTCATTTTCCCACTTGACTAGATCCTTACCCAATTTATTGAAATTCCTTAACTATAATCTCTCTTTTCTGGGCAGGGGAGATAGAGTAAAGGAGAAAGAAAAGTAATATTTATCTGTCATTTACTGTATGCTAGGTACATCATCTCATTTAATCCTTCCAAAAACTCTGAGGCAAGTAACACCATTGGCATTTAAATGATGAAAGTGAAAGAGTAGTACCTTGCCCAAGTTGTAGAGCCAGGTTCATACCATGTCTGTCTGACACCCAAAGACCATGTTCTTGCACTAGGCCAGTACTTCACAGTTGTTATTTCATTTTCACTCCTCTCCAAGGTGAAAATTTTAAATTACATAAATTTAAATTCTGACTAATGAGAAAAATTAAATACTAAGGACTAAGATTTTGGTTAGGTAGGATTGAGTTTTGAAGGCCACATAACACTATATTATTTAAGGTTTTTTTCACCCTTAAGAATCATTTTTTGCCTGGTGGGGACATCACCCCATTGAGAATTTGGTAACAGGCCAGTGCTGGAGGAGGTCACAATCTGCCAATCTTAGGCTCAGATCTGACCCTTGACGTTATTGACCCTTGAGATAAATATTTCAAAAAGGCACATTTATGCCAATGGAAATCTAGTACCCACTCCATTGCCTGTATCCAAAGGTCTACTCAGCAGCTTTTCCTGGAATGTCTAAAACAAATCTCCAAGTTCACGTTTTACACCAAACTCATGGTTTTCGCTTTGCCTCCAAAAAACTCTGCTCCCAATTGTAAAAACACAAACCTGTGAATTTTCAGTGATCTTACTCTTCCTGAACAATCCTATATCCAATCATTAAGCAGTTTTTTCACCTCCTGTTTCAAAATATATCTGAACCCAACCATTTCTCACCACTACCACCCTAGTCCAACCTGCTATCCTCTCTCCTGGATGACTGCCCTAGCCTCCTAACTGGTATCCATGTTTCCTCTGTGGCCACCCAACAAATGATTCTCTGCACCCGCAGTCAGGATGATCCTTGTAAAACGTAATTCAAATCATGTAATTCCTGTGCTGTCTACCTTCTAATGGCTTCCATCACACTTGGAATCAAACCCAAACTTTGTCACAGCCTTTCAGGCTCAACAGGAGCTGGAACCAGCTATTCTCTCCTACTTATTTCTACTGCTCTCCCATGATCACTGTCCTCCAGCCACACTGGCCTTCTTTTACCATACTTTGAAACCTACCAAGCTCAGAACCTTTTACCTCAGGACCTTTGCACTTGCCATTTTTCCTGCCTGGAATGCTCTTCCCCAAGATGTTCCCATGGCTAACTCCTGCATTTCATTCAGTTCTCGGCTCAAATGTCAAATACTAAGAATTCCTAACCACCCCACCCAAAAGAGCTTCTCTCCCCTCCATCATTCTCTATCCCTGTATTCTGCCTTATTTTCCTACAAAGTGCCTGAAATTTCATATTTACTTAGTTGCTTTCCCTCCAAACTACAATGAATATAAACTGTGTCAGACCAGGGATTTGTCTTGTTCACTCCTCTTACCACTAGCACTTAGAACAGTGCCTCACACATAGGAAGAATTGCATTGCAATTGGACAAGCCTTTTAACTAAAAAGAGCCCTCTTATTTTCCTTTTAAAACTCCTTTCTTTTGAGGGCTCCATTTCTATTGTCTGTCCCTTAACCAGCCATCTCAAACATTCCCATCCTGCGTTTAACATACAGGATTTTGTTCTGAGCTCCAGAGGCATCACCTTTGAGTGTCTCACAGGTGCCTCAAATTCTACAGGTCCAAACTGAATTCACCATTTTCCTTCCTAGTTCTGTATTTCCTCTGCCCATCTTAGCTTCTCAAGTTGGATGCCTCTGAGTTATCCAATTTGGAGAGCTCTATTTCCCTTCCTCTACAGCTAAGCTTGCCCATGTATCCAATCTATCCACCTCTTCCCCACCCTCAGCTCCACTATCCTAGTTCAAAACACTGAACTCTTTCTTTCACTGGGATTACTTAGTTTATCAGTCTTCCAATGTGTAATCTTTTTAAAACAAGCACCTGGTCCTCTCATGCTCTAACTAAAAACTAGTTTCCCATCACCCTTAGGAAAAATCGAATATGTGAATGTAGCTGAGAAGGCCCTTTAAGAGCCAGACCATTCCTTCTCCAGTCACAAGTTTTTCCATGTCCAACCTCTACCAACCCCATCATTCAAAATCTGTGTTCTGGCCACACAGAACCCTGACAGTTCCTCAAAAAGGACCCTCTGTTGCCTCTACACTTCTTCATATGCTATTTTGTTTCAAACATTCTCCTCCTCCACTCTTGCCCCTACCCCAGTCTTTCAGGGAAAGACTACCCAAACACCACTCCCTCCAGGAAGCCTTCCCAGATACCCCCAAATCTGGGTATCAGAGCACCTAAGTACTTTCTTTGTCAAAGCACTTGTCCTACTCTATTATAAATGCCTGTAAGAAAGTAAACATAAAGACAGAAGCTGTGTCAAGTTGGCATGCCCAGCATCTTTCATAGAATGTTCAAAACAACAAGTATTTGTTGAATAAGTGAATCTCAAATGGAGACATTAATAATTTATTTCCACAAGTCTGCCCTTTGTATTTTATCTTCTCTTATGTTGTTTCTTTCCTCACTCTTAATTTTCCCCATGTGAGGCTCCCATCTGGGCCATGATGTACCTACCCCTGGTTTTACACGGAGTTGATGCCCTGGTTAAGTACCTGAGATATACCTGACCCCAAGGATCACAACCTACCCATAGCGCTCAGACCCTCAGAAAGTGCTGGTCCCATTAGGGGGCTCAATCACATGCTAGCTGCACACTTTCTTTTTTTTCTTTCAAGAGCATAGGGATACTTCTATGCTTGAATGATAGAGAACAATAAATAGAAATGAATGAATTCTCTTGGGTAACTCAATGAATCTGGTGTTAAAAAAGAAAATAAACCATCCAACCTATCACCGGATTTAATGAAAATTCTTTTAATTCAGAGGTAAACAGGACAAGTTCAGAGTACCAGTTCAACTAGTTAGTTTATCTGCATTGTTAAGGAATGACGTATACCTCACAGAAGATTTTTATCACATGATATTTATATATTATTGACATTAACTTTCAAAGAAAAATTGCTTTTCATGTTGAAATTCTACTTCTGCAAATTTATCCTAAGGAGTACTTTGCAAGTGAGCAAAGATAAACAATGTTCACTGCACCATCTTTTGTAAGGTAAGACAGCCCAAATGTCCACTGACAGGAGACTAATTAAATCAATTTTGGCATATAATTAATACAGTAATACTATGTAGCTACTAAAAAAAATGAAGCAGACTTCATACTAATACCAACAAATAAATATTCAGGATATATTGTGAAGTGAAAAAAAGGAGAAATGACAGGTTATATAGCAGAAATGTATATAATAATCACATTTCAATTTTTTTAAATGTTCATTCATACTTAGTATCTATTTCATAGGACTGTTTTGAGAATTAAATCAGTTAATATATGTTAAGTACTTCAAACAATGCCTGGCAACAGTAAGTGCTCAATAAATAATAGCCTTGTTTCCCACTATTATCCCCATTTTATAGATGAAGAAATAGGTGCAGATTAAGTTCTCATCCAAGTTTACTAGGAATTAGCAGTCAGAATTTGTTCCCCAGAAGATTGGTTCAAATGACTAAAATAATATAGAGTAGTTGTTAAAGTTGGTTGTATCTTAGGAAGTAGATTAGATAGGACTCTTATTTTTTTGTTATATATCTCTATAAGGTTTGGCTTTTAAAAACCAGTAATTGTTACCTTTTTGGCATAGACAAAAGAAAGAAAAAAGAAGAGAAAGTAAAAACTGCTATCCCATCACTGCCTGGAGATAAAGAGAAAATGAATTCAGTCAAGACTAGGGTGGTATCTATCATAACACTTGCTTTTGCTAGACCTACTGGCTCATTTATTTTTCTCTTCATAGAATGTCTCCTTCAGAGGAATTCCCAGGGATGCAAATAAAAATCTAGAATTTGAGGTCTCTCAGCACCTGAAGCTTTACTGACTGCTATGCTGTACGTTTCAGAGAGGAGAAAAAAAACCCAGCCATATGGTTGAATTCACTGTTCCTATTCAATTCATCCAGGGCCTTTGGCAGAGGTTGGGTAGCTACATACCACATGAGTGCTTCTTGTAAGAGTCAAGGCTGTGAAAGGAGCTTTCACAGATTCCTCCAGCCCACTGAAAGGACACTTGAAAGTGAGCCCAAGTCAGCTACAAAGTGCTGAATGATTTTTTGTTGCTAAGATAATGACCAAAGAGGAGGCAAAGGCAAGTCAGAAGCCGATCCCCCCGGTAGGCTTTAAGGTGACTCCTGGTCTTTCACATCCTGTCTCCCTAGTTAGACAAGAATGTGACTAATTTTCTTGTAAAAAAATTTTCCCCTGATAAAAGTAGCTCATGTTTATGGAAAATAAAAATCATAACCACCATCTTTGATGTTATGGTACATTTCCTTCTAGAGCTTTTTTATAAGTTCATATGTATACTATGATTTATATTTTAAAATTTGGACCATACTATATATATAGTTTGCATCTTTGTTTTCCATTTAACATTATATATTAACATTTTCTGACATAAAATATTCTTTGAAAAATAATTTTTAGTGACAGAAAACTTCATATACATAAAAAGTTACTTAACTATTTAATTAAATAGTTAGTTATTTAACTATTTAACCTGTGTAGCTAAGGGTATCTACCAGATCTAGAGGCAGAAAAGGTCCAAACAAATAAGGTTTCATTTCTGCCTTTCCCATATTAACTGCAGGAAAGCCTGCAGGGCACCACCAGGGGTCAGTGCAGAGCCATCTAGTATGCCTTTATATTCAACATTTACAAATTATGTTTATTTTATACCAAGGTCTAGCAATACAAGAGATGTTAGACTTGTTCTCACCTGCTTGGTACGAGACCATTTGTGAAGAAAATACGTGGCTTGGCTATTTTATAGGTCTCCTGTGAAAATCAAGTAAAAAAGTATATGGAAGTATCATAAATTATGAAACAGCATTTAAACTTTAAGTTGCCCTGTTTTAATGATGTGCTTTTCAGATTATTTGTATGAGGTATCTATCACCTATAAAAATTAAAGAACCCCAGGTAGTATCATGATTATGAAATGAAGTGTAAGAGCATATGCTTTGGTATAACTGTGGATTATTTCATTGGTTTTCCTCCCCCTAGCCTTTGCTCTCCATCTGCTGAAGTCATTGTGAAATTGGTAATTTGTTTTTCCTAGAAGCTGAAGTTACCATTTATAGCCAATTTGGGTTGTGCTCTTTTCCATCCTCATTTACCTGAGGCTTCTTCAGGAAGATTACTCTGAGCTCAGAGCTGGTTTAAACAACTTACAAGTAGGTGAGTAGCAGGGATCAAAAATCTACTCCAGGCCTGACATTCTTGATGGGCTCTGGCACAGGTGTTTGGCACTCCTGGTCTCTCTAAATCCAGAAGTGACACCACAGCAAAAGGCACCAAGGCTCCATCTCCCACCTCACCAGGTTCCTGACTCACCCTTCCTTCTGTTCTCATTTCCTCTGCAGTTCACAGTGCCCCATTACTTGGCATCAGGGATGAAAAGGAGCTAGAGTTGGGCATCTGGTGGACCAAGCAGCTTTCAAAACCAGCTTGGCATAGCCTTTTCTGAGAGCAGTCTAATCTGCCAATGGGTCCACTCTGACCAATTTCAGAACACACGGGATCCTGGGCAAAGAGAGGCCTGAGAGTCCTTTATCACTGGCACTTGACTTCCCACTGGGTTAGAGCCTTAAGCTCCCTGGAGAAGCAGGGCACAGAGGCAACCCAAAGAGAATGAGGGTGTATGCACAGCAGCTCACACTACCCATAAAAGAGCAGTCCTGTGTCTTAGAGCAGGATCAACACAGAGCACCAATGGAACAGCTTGTGCTCCTGGTAAGTCTGGCTCCTGGTACATAGTAGGTTTTTGATAAATATTAGTTGTATGAATGACAGGTGTAAGCTACTAGACCAGCATTAGAGCAGAGTGCCTGGGGAAAGCTACATTTCTATGGTTAATCAAAAAATAGACAATAGTTCTGGGACCAGAGTAGTGGAATTAAACCTATCAACTTAAAACAAAGTCAAGAGGGTCATAACAGCTAGCCACAAAATCAGGAAAACTCAAGAGCCAAAAACAGCAACCCAGATCAACCACTGTTATTATTTAAGAGCAGTTTCTAATATAGGCCTTCAGGGCACCTACCTTCCTACAAGGGCCAACTTCCTGAGATCAGAGTCTGATTAGCTGACTGGGCTCTACTGTGCATCCAGGAGGGAGTGCAGGGACTCAGCCCGGAGTGCTCTGAGACACCAGCAGAGCTGACAAAGAGGCCCCAAGGAAATGTGGTGATTCCCTTGGCCACAAAACTGCAGGTCCTAGTCTTATGCCTCCTAACCTGCTAGGCTCCCCCATCTGCTTTAGTCTTACAGGACACTGCAGAAGGCTGTGTTCCAGAATGGGCTGCCAATTGCCTAGGAAAGTGCCCAGGGAGTAACCAGCCTGGTTACTCAATGTTGTCATAGACTTGGATTACATCCTCATGGTTGCCAAGAGCCTGGATGAGATGGGCAGCCTGCTCCAGGTCAGTGTCAGCCAGCTGCACCTTTGTGTGGGGGACGAACTCTAGTGTACAGGACACAGAACACAAGCCCAAGGAGTCCAGCTTCTTCCGCACTTGATGCAGTGAAGAGGTATCACAAATAAACTACGGACAAAGGAAAGTCAGGAAGTGAGCAGCCAGAAGATAACAGGGCCAAGTCAGATAGAACTTTGTAAAACATGAATAGAACTACTATAATGTATCACTGGGTTTAAGCTCTTCCCTGGCAGAGATACAGTTTTCAGTATTCTGAATCCTTCTACCAGTCTACAGTATAGTAAGCCCTATCCAGTATTCACTTAATAAATGTTTGTGCAAAATATGTGAACTCTTTATGTCACCTGTCCTCTGAGCACAGGAAAGAAACTTGAGATAGGCATGCCTTAATATGTATATTAGGACACTTAGAAGTCCCCCAAACACTAAGGCTTCATACTCACTTTAAAAATGTTCTTTTCCTCTTCGTCCTCAGTTTCCTTGACATCCTCAGCTCCTGCTTCAATTGCCAGCTCCAGGGCATGCTCCAGGTTCACAGCTTTCTTCTCTCGGTCCTCCACTCCCACTACGATCACCCCCTTTTTGTCAAATAAGTGGCGAGCTCCTTCAGCCATCATCCCCCTGACAGGAAAGGAAATGGGCCAGAGTGAATGCCTTTTAGACATTCAACTTCCACACAGCACTGCATTCAAACACTGTATTTTCCACCCAGCCTCTGGAGTATAGGCAGGCACAGAGCACCTCTCTTCTGGAAGGAGAAGATACAGCTATTGCTGGGCAGGGGAATAAGCCAAATATATCCCCACCTGATATTTTCTGCTCTGATCAGAATGTGGAGGATGCAAAGACTTTGCTCATCACTTCCTGTGCAATTAAGATTCCTGTCCTAGTGCTATGTTTCAAGGTGTGTACATTACATGGCTAAGATGGAATAATGGGACAAAGAGCCCCTTCTACACCTAATGAACAAGTCATTTGGATCCTGCTTAGTATAGAACACATAAAGAGAAAATAAATGATCCCATTTGGATTCTGCTAAGGATGAAGTCAGCTTAAAACCTGAAATACCACCAAGAGCAGCAGTACTTCCCCTGCAAATTAGAACCTCAAGGCTTCATCCCCTTCCCCTCTCCCAAACACACACCTACCTATTCTTGCTCAGGATATGTCTGATGTCCGAATAGCACTTGGAGCCACTGCTAGATAATGCCTCAATGAGCAGAGAAAAGCCACCAGGGCCTCGACCCTCATATAGCAAATAAACAGCCTTGGCTTTCTGTAATAGACAACACAAGCACATTTTCTTATTTCCCAATTCTCTCCTGCATGCCAGCCTAGAACCACATATACCACAAAGTGACTCCATGGGATGGGCTCTCTGGGCTAGAGCCCAGGCTCTCAAGTCTTTATTTTTGTCCTCACCCTCTGGGAGGAGGTCCTTGGGACCAACTTTTGAGGTAACTGGAAGTGCTTACTACCGCTTACTTGGAAGGGGTCATTTCTCTGGTCCCTGAACAATCAACCATCTCCCAGTTTTGTTTCCTCCCCTCCCCAGCTGAATCCCACATTTATTTCCCAGTCACTACTATGAAGACTCATCCTCTATACCCCACTCCACATGAAACCCACCTGGGATGTCTGTGCTCACCATTGTGGGAAATCACACACCTGAGCCCTACCATGAGCGGCACTGGAAATAGCATGGCCACAAAATTCAATCAATCAAAGGATTAATGACCAATCTCATCTGGACCTCCCAAGTCACCTCTACTCATCCCCTGCCCATGCATCTGATCTTCACCACTCTCTCCAAACACCCTGTCTGCTGCCTGCCCAGGAACTCTCAACCAATGACTTTCTTCCTCTTTCCAAAGGAAAAAAAGGCCCACTGGTGGTGGGGGAGGGAGAGACCCTCTGTCTCTACCAGCTTATCTGCACCATGCTCCCATGAAGACAGGATGTATAATGGTTAGAGCACAAGGACTGACATCTATGTGGTTTCAAGTCTGTCATTTTCTGTGTGACTTGGTCACCAAATCTTTCTGTGCCTCGTGTTCCACATAAGGTTGCTTTGAAGATCCAGAAATATAAGGCATAAAGGGTACTTATCAAAATGCTTGGCCTAGAGTAAGCACTCAATAACTTTTGTTATTAAGATGATTATTACTTCCTAAGATCCTTCCTACTTGTCCCAGAGAAAGAGGTGTCCCCTTACCCAGGCTCAAAGGCAACTCCCATACTTGGGCTCTACATTCCTGCTCCTCCCACTACCACTACCACTCTTGTCCACACACTCTCACTTTCTACTGGCTTTTCTCCTTTAGGATATAAGTATCTGAAAAAGAAAAGCAAACTCCTCCTCGATCTAACATCAGGGCTTTCCCCACACTGTAGCCCTTCTTTCCAGCCCATCCCCTTGCGACTTGGCTAAGCAGTACTAGGCTGTATGGGTCTGCACATTGTCTATCCATTCAGTCCCTTAATGTTCTCCTACAGCCAATATCCAAGGACACAGAGCCACCAGAAGGCTCTGGGTTGAAGGTGTCAACCACTAGGCTACCCCTTCTCTCTGATAATTTAAGGAGTGTTTGGTGGCCTTCCAGACGTGGACCCCGCAGGGGCTGTGATCAGTAAGAATGTCAAACTGAGGACACACCTCCATTTTCAGTGATGCCTCAATCGTTGACTTGGGCATGTGCTTGCTGCGACACACCTCTAAGATGTTGGCCAGATTACTGTTGAGCTCAGGGTTGGGTCCTCCTTCTGAGATAGAAAAGATGAATGAAGACATCGCATTACAGCATGGGAGATAAAAGGGATTTCTGACCCACCCACCCCCAATCAAAACAGTAAGTCATCACTTAGCTCTCAATGAATTTATAGCACTTTATCCAGAGCTTGAATAGGATATAATGAAGTATTTTGGAAGTTTCAAATGCACTCTTTAAGAACAGATCTTTCTGCTAGGTTTCAGTGAACACCACTTTATATTAGATGAATATGTAAGGGATATAAATTGTACCAACATTTCCTGTACTTATTAAAACAGCTTGCTCCGACTCTACTGTTTTGTGTGTAACTACTGAAATGCTCATATGACATTGCAATAATACTGCCTTTGAGGGCAGGGGCTATACCTTCCTTATTTTTGTTATCACCACTATCTGATGCCAAACAAACATCTGACAGTGTTGCTGTAACTTAGTACCAAGAATCTAGAAGAAAAGGAAGCCAAGAGAAATATCAGGCATAGGTTTTAGGGGTAAATCAATATTCACTGAATACGTATTTTGTGCCAGAAACTCCCTTAAGGTTGACACTATCCCTGTTTTAGAGAAGGAAACTGAAACTCAACAAGGTCAAGCCATTTGCTCAAGATCACAAAGTAAGTGACAGAAACCAAGTATTTCTGACTCCAAAGTCCACATATTTTCAGGACCTTTTCTCCATTCCTACAGGTATCTGACACTAAATTGAAAACAACAACAAAACAAAACAAGAACCTTTTTATGGGGACCATACAACTGAGAAGACATGGTTGCAAACCTACCATCCAAGAAAATTTGTCTCAGGAAACTTTAATGAAGCAAACTGAGGCCTGGGCAAGTAATAGCTTTATTCCATGCCCTGCCACAATATATATACTATCAGAGGGGACTGCAGAGGGCTTGAATTGTCTCTTCAGGAAAGATACATGTGACCTTACACTTAGGGTCTGTTTCTATGAAATATTCAGCTACAGACTAGGATGAAGTAGTCACTTTTACCATCTTATTTTCCTAAGAGCAGGTCCTTGAGAAGCTGGCAGATGCTCAGCATCTGGAAAGGTGAGTGGGGACATACAATGTAAGCAGGTGTTTGGAGGGCTTTTGAGGTGGGCAACGCTAAAAATTGGGAAAGGAAAAGAAAATGAGGGCCGAGGTTAGGAGTAGGCCCTGACCTACCTCCAGGAGGCAAAAAATGACTTTGGGCACAGAGAAGACAGAGGAGGGTGATCATCAGGTTCTCACCTTTAACTGCTAGGCGTATGCTCAAACAAAGCTTGGAGAAGATGCGACTCCTTTCCATGTCCTTGGGACCCTTAATGTGCCGGACTTTAGACCACTTGTTGTGTCCGGCAGGGACCGCCGCAGTGAGGTGCAGTGTCCTACCCCAAAAGGTGCTACAGCCAAAGGGGTTAGGCTGAGAGGCCGGGAAGACGCGCTGAGAAACGGCCCGGACCCCGGGGCATCGCTCCCGAAAGTATGGGGCAGCGGCCCTGCTCAGGGAGACGGCGGCCCAGGCAGCCATCTGATCAGACCCGGGGGCAAGGGCAGCGAAAGAGCAGCGGCCACGGTGGGCCCGGCCCGTCCGCCGCCTAAACAGATGTATCTGGAACCGGCAGCCGCTCCCACCCGTCACCAGATTACCAAAGGCTCAGGCCCACCCAAAGCAGTCCGAACCCGAAGGACCCTAAAACGTTTCCAAGAGGCCAGAAGCGGGTACGCTCGATAATGTGGCACACTTCCTTTCCCCGGTCCCTTCGAAAAAGGCGTCCCCACCGCCCGCAAAATCTGTTCCGCCGCCGCACCGTACTCGCTCCTCTCTCGCACCTGCGCAGAGCCGGGGTCAATGTGGAGCGACCCACTGCTCAATCCTTTATGTTTGCCTGGGGAGCCGCGGACTTTATTTCCCACGGTAACCAGTAGCTATACATCTGTTAGGTAACAGATGTTGCTTCCGAATCGCTTCCCAGCTCTGAGCAAGTCCAGAATAATAAACTTTTTGTTGCAAAAAAAGTATGTAGTTCAACCGCCTCATTTTACAGGAAGAGAAACCTCCGCCAGAGATATGATTTGCCCCATCATTTTCTTTCTCTCAACTTTTTGTTCCCTGTCCGTAAATAAAGTACTATTGCTTGCTTTGCCAATTTAGGAAGGTTGAAAAACATAAAATATGGAGATTTAAAAGTAATAAGGTCTTACATAGATAGCAATAACCATAGTGATGAAGCCCCTTACTGCAAGAGATGGCTTGAGGTTCAGATGAGACACAGGACATTCAGGAGACAAAGGATGATCAGAACAGCCTCCTAGAGCCAAATTCACTTTTCCATTTTCCCTCTGCTCTCCCAAAAGGGAAAACTGAGGCTATTAGGAAGAGAAGATAAAGAAGAAACAAAGTGCCAACTGTTGAAAACTTCCCAGCACTCCCATGATGGTGAGATTTAAGCCCAAAGGACTTGGTATGTTAGGTAGAAAACAAGACAAGGTGAAGTTTAGGTTTGTAGCTTCGGCGTTAGACTGGGTGGGTCCCAACCTGGATTGTCCCACTAGCTGGTGTTACCTTGGGCAAGTTCCTTTACTCTCATATATTCCAGTGTCCTTACCTGCGGAATGACCTTACAAGGATTTACATGGGATAATGAACACAGGCACCTTGCCAGGATATGTGGGATAAAGTACACAGGTAAAGATTTTGTTAGTTTATTATATTAGGTAAAAGCCTTTATAATCTCAATCTACTCATCTTTCCAATCCCATGTCCTAATACTACCCTCCCATTGGAGGGAATTAACTGTACTCTGAATATGAATTCTGCTCAGCTGTCACCATTTTGGTGAAGTCTCAGTTCTGCTTTGAATTTCTAGCTATAACTAGTAGCTCACTTATGAATTGCTTTTTTATTACCCAAGCTACTTAGTGATGGACTCAGCACTCTCCTCCTTGTACTTTGCCAGATCAGAAACCCCAGGCTGCTCCTAGTATCTCTCCCAATTCCTGTATTAAGTACAAACCTTTCTCTTTGCTGGCTTGTGTTCCAATTAACTTCACCTGGCTAATTTTTGTTTTTCCTTCAAGATTCGGCTCAGGCATCATTTCCCACCAGAGGAAAACATCTCCAAATTCTCCAGGTGGGCTCAGATGCCCTACTCTGTGCTCACACAACCCTTCATGCATGCCTGTACCTTAGCACTTACTTTTTTTTAGTATCAAAATGTTTATGTCTGTCTTTACCATGTTATTAAATACTTTGACACTGTAGTCCTGGTGCAGCACAGTTCCTTTTTAAAAAAAAAATACCTTTATTGACATATAATTCACATTTCATACAGGTCAATTTAAAGTGTACAATTTTGTATTTAGTATATTCAGAGATTTGTGCAGCCATCACCACAATTTTACATTTTAATAACCCCAAAAAGAAACCTGTACCCATTAGTAGTCATTCTCCATTTCCTCCCAGATACTCCCATCCCAGGCAACCACAAATTTACTTCTGCCTCCATGGATTTGCCTATTCTGGACATTTCATATGGATGGATCATTCAATATGCAGTCCTTTGTAACTGGCTTCTTTCACTTACCATAATGTTTCCAGAGTTCATCCATTTTGTAGCATATATCAGTGCTTCATTCCTTTTATTGCCAAATTATATGCCACTGTATGCACATACCATTTTATAGAGCCCTTCATCAGCACATGGACATTTGAGTTGTTCCCACCTTTTTACTATTACTAATAATGCTGTTATGAATAGTCATGTACAAAGGGGTTTTTTTAGACATATTATTCTAATTTCTCTTAAGTATATATGTAGGAGTGGAATTAGTGGTTATAGAGTAACTGTTTAACCTTTTGAGGAACTGCCAGAGTGTTTTCCAACAGTTGCGTTATTTTACATTACCACCAGTAATGTATGAGGTTTCCAATTTCTCCACATCCTCGCCAACATTTGTTTTCATCTCTGTTTGACTATCACTGTTGCCTGCCTAGTGGGTATGAAGTGTTTTCTCATTGTGCTTTTGATTTGTATTTCCCTAATGACTAATGATGTTGAGCATCTTTTCATGTACTTACTAGCCATTCATATATAGTACTGCTTTTTGTAATTTAAAAATATAGTTTAATGTGAATGTTACTTTAAGTAGCAAAAAGAAAATTTAGGGAAATCTTAACCATAAGTAAGTATAAAGGCCAAAACAAAATTTGAGATTGCCTTAGCCCAATCAGCTTAAGTCCAACAGGGCAAACCTGTAGTTCAACAAAGTCAGACGACTGACCCACTTTAACAAGGGACACTATACAACAGGGGGATGGTGTGAGTCTTATCAAAAGACAAGATAGTTGTAAGATTAGAGGGTAAAATGCAGGTAGATAAAACTTCAATGAAATAGTTTGACAGGCACAAAGGAACACAGAGCTGTATGAAGAGGGTCAACGTCAGCTCTGGACTGCAAAGTGGACCCAGGGGCCAACTTTCTTGGAAACTACAAAGTTAAAAGTGGATTGTCGTGTTCAGAACCCCCTGCTCTGAAGCTCCACATTTGGGTTGAAAATCAAGGCTCCTTCCCTAAGTGACTTAGATTCTCTAAGCAAGACTGTAAGGCTTCCCCCTCAACTGATATTTCAAACAGCAAACTTTCTGACAGTCTATGATTTTTAGAGAACAAAGTTTCTCAGTGAATTAAAAAAAAATAGTAGTTGGTCAGAGAAGGTAATTGTTAGGACACTTTTAAGTTTTGGTGTGTGCTTGGGAGAAGTAGTATTTCCCATTAACACTGTATCTAGCTAGCTAATTTTATCTGTGATGAACGGCGGCAGGGTAGAGTTCTACTTGATCAGTCTTGGTCTGAACATGGGCTCAGCGCTAGCAGCAAATGAGGTGATGCTGTTTAGTCCAGATGCTTCACTAGTTTGATGGTGTGGCAGTCCTTACTATCTGTCCGCTACTTTTCCTCTAAGCACATGGTAAGGGAGTTCTCGACCTTCCTTAGAGTTAGGCTGGATGAGTCACATGACTAAACCTGGCAGACAGGCACAGGAGCGAGCGAGCCTGTCCTGAAACTCATCTCACCCCTCCAAAGCAACTCTGGTGGCCGCTTTCTGGGTGATGAAGCTTTAAGATGGAGGAGGGCTGACCAACCTCCAAAGGGCTTCGTGTAAGCAAGAAATAAACTTTCACTGAGTTCAGTCTCTGAGGCTTGGGGGTTACTGCAGCATAGCCCAGTCTATCAAAGTAAATACACTATTACTCCTCCAGCTTTCCCCTTAAAAACCCAAGGACAGGAATCACGTATTTCCCATAAAATACACATCATCAGACCCAACAACACAGTTCAGACAGAGCCAGCAGGTACTGGTCACATAGGTTTAAACTCTCAGATGACTTTTTGCAGACCCACTGCCACTCCCCATCTTCTGACACAAAGGCAGGCACTTAGTGAACCCATCACAATTTGCTTTTCTTCTCTTCCCTTCAAACAGCTCAACACGAATGAAAATAAAAATGGAGTACTCATCCAGGACTCATGGCATTTGAATAGCAGTGGGCATATGAACTCCTTCATCTGTCCACGATGGGGCACAGGCTTGGGAAACTGGCTCGGACTGGAAAACTCTAATGGGCTGTGAGAGCCTGGATACAAACCCACGGGATCTGGGAGTTATTTCTTTGTCATCCTTCACAACCAAGAGATTACTAAATCCTGATTATCCCATTTTACCAATCTCTTCAGTTGAGCCTCCTCCTTTCTGCTGCTCCTTAGTTCTGGCTTTGACTTTTTCTCACCTTGACAATTACATTATAATTGTGGACTCTGCCTCACCCCTGACTCAGAGGCACTTTTTTGACTCCTAAAATGCGGTTTTGAGAATGACTTCTATGTAAATTTTCTAGTCTCATGCAGGAATAAGGTCTAAGCTTTCTGCAAAGCACAAAAGACTGCCTGATCTGGGTCCTGTTGGAATGTGGCTTGAGCCACATTTCCCACCAGTCCTCATACAAAACCCCTCAACATATTAATTCTGAACACCATATACTTTCTTGCCTCTATAAGTTTGTACACAGATGTTCTGTTTTAAATGTCTTTCCCTCTTTCCAAGAACTCCTACTCAGCCTTCAAAACCCAGTTCAAACTTTCATCTTGTGAAGTTTTCCCTGACCCCTCTGGCTCCCACTCAGGCATGGGTGATTACCTCCTTCTCAGGGCCAATGGTTAGCCTGAATGCACCTGTTACTCCACAACACTGCCAGTATTTGTTTATGTGGATGCCACCTCTGGTAGACTGTGACTTGAGGGCCATGGACCCTGGCAGAGAATAGGCGTTCTGTGTTTTGCTAAAGACGGGGAGTCAGGCTATCTGACAGTATGGTGGGCTCGGGCAGTGTGTCCCCTAGCCAGGGTCTTGAACATGACCACGAGGGTAGAATGGGAAGCAGTGAATTCATCACATGAAGAAATTCAGTCAGTCTATACATGTTCAAGTTTTATTACAAAGTATGATGGGCAGAAAATATGGTACTTCTTATACAGGAGGCTGAAACAGAATGAAAGGGTGAAAATTAGGTTTAATATACTCAGGAAGCAAGAAATAAAGTCAGATATAACACTGCACTTTCAGGTGCCTTTGAAGTAGCCTTTGATGGAGATTTACCATCGTGGTTTTGTAGCACAGTGTTAAAAGTTTATTATAAGCCCTGTGTACAATCTGTCCTGTGAAAATAATGTTTTTAAAAGAAAAATGGTTACAGTACAGTTCTGCAAGGGGTAGCTTCCTCTCCACCTGACCACAGGATGCCACAAAACCTATAATAGAGGAAAATCCAAATATAACAAGAAATTAAGTTCAGACACACTAGGCTAAAGGGGACAGAAATTGGTTGGCTAAAGCTTAACATTTCAGAGAACAAGAAATCTCCATTTTCTACATTGAGGTTTGTACAATCATGCTACAAATTCTCACTTGGTGGGGAAGGATGGAAAATCATTGACAGAGGGGTCATAAAACACATAGGAACCAAAGCAAATGATTCATACTCGACTCAAGCAATTCAAAGCTTTAGCTCAACAAGTTTCATAACACACTGTAAATCCACAATCAACCCAAGGTGAGAACATTTCTTTTAAATGTCAGGTTTCACAAGTTCATATTCACTGGGTTGTCCCACAGGTGGGTACTTGTAAGTTTTCCAGCTGTTACACAGACCGCCAACACCTTTCTTCTCGCGTTTGCACTTTGATCAGCTTATCTGTTCCTAGTCCAGGCCTCTTTGGGTTTCCATACTTAAAAGAGCATTCAGCAAGGAGCCTGAGAGGACTTGGCCTCTACTGTGTGCCAACATATCTGACGTTGGCCATTAGCAGCAATGACAACTGTGGCAGAAGAGGGTACAGGTGGGAGGGGCAGCAAGGCTCGGCAACGCCACAGCCCCTCGGCAGCTGGCCCACCCGGCACAGAGAGCTCCTGGTAGAGCCTCGCCTAGGCTCACAGCCACTGCTCAGCTCAGCTTTCCTCCCAGAGAAAACCCACTTTAAGTGCCAAGCATGACCCACTTTCCTCATCCTGGAGGACACAGAGTAAAGGAAGAGTCTGCTTTAAGGTTTCTACTTCAACAGTCGCCATAACCCCAAGCCAGGTGGTCTAAGGGGCTGCCATATTCTCCAACTTGGGCAGGTGGAGGGATGGTTCTGGGCTGGCCTTCCATGTGTGGTAAACCCAGCAGCTCCTACCTGTCCTTACAACTGGGGAATCCAAGGCCCAGGCTGCAGCAGGGAGAAAGTTCTACAGTGGAAAGGGAGTGGGAAAGGAAGAGAAAGAAAAGGGAGGGGGGAGAGCAGGCATGACTAAAACCTCTGCTGCTTCTCTGTACAAGCCTACAACCAAGAGCCCCCATCTGTGACAGTCATATGACTCATGACACCAGCAAACATCACCTATGGCCACACGGCTGCGGGAAGGGGCTCCTCTGCCGTGAGCTGTCATCCTGTCCCCACTTAACAAGCATCACAGACACCTGATGGTCCAGGAAGGCTGACACAGGCTGAGGGCATGGTCTCCCACCATGGCCACATACAATGGACAGTCTGAATGCTTCCCCACCTAAGACCTTTACTGCCTTCTAGTATTTTCTCCTTTGATCTAGAGAAACACGACCAATTTTCTCCCACATCCTAAATCTCTTCCTACAATTTCAGCCACAACTATCACCAAAACCTGGTAGGAATCCCAATTTTTTTGGTTTTCTTCCCAAATCTTAACCAGTTCTGGGAGCCAATCCTGGTTCTGATAAATTACCACCCAGTTTTCAAATACCTTTCCTCTTCAAGTCCTCATCTTGCAGCCTGCTTCCTCCCTGGAAGGGGTCCACTATTCCTGGGTGTAAATACTCAGACTCTTGAAGGAGTTGTACCCATTCACGATTCTCTGTTGCAGAACCTCAGCCTTGATTTACTCAGCACCTCAGAGCAGACAAGGACAACAGCTTTGGCTCAGGGGTCGAAGACTACGTCAAAGGGAGCCCAGAGGGGTCGCTCTGCAGCCTTCCCAGTGAAGTCCTGGCAGCTGCTCTTCTCACACTGAAGGAGAGAAGATCCAGGACCTCCCACCCGTCGTTGCTAGCTGTTGATTTGAGAACCTAAGCATATTAAACAGACACTTGGTTTTAAAACTACAACAGATCTCTGCTTACTGGAGCACAGCTGGTTAAGTGGCTTTCTAAATCCTAAGACTACAGAAATCCCCTCTTCAGCCATGAAGCCACCTTGTCTGTGGCATAAACAAAGAATAGGAGAGCTAGGACTTCAAAATATCAGCATTGCAGAACTGTATGTGTGTATCTGCTTAGGGAGACTGGGGAATCTCACCGGGATTCCAGGTGGGCTGCCAGGAGGAAGAGGACCACACTGAAGGGCCTACGCAGGGGTGATAGAGCTGGGAATCCACAAGGCAAGGGGAAAAAACATCAAAAGCTATTAGTTTCTAGAATAAATAGCAACTTTATGCACATATATTCTAATTACTATTGACTAATCCTCCCTCCTCAGGTTATTTCCAAGTTCCAGTTGACAAATCTCACTATTCAGGCCAAGTTTAAGTGCAGAAAAGGAAAGCAATCTTAACTCAGAACTCAGTGGAGTAAAGCCTTGCCCCAGCAGGACAGCCCCTCCTACCAGTCCGACCTCTAGCTCAGACATCTTCTAGGGGAAGGATCTGATGTCCTCCTAGAGCAAGCAGCCCCCAACAACTCAAACTTGCTACGGTTGAGAGAAGGGCCCTGGAATCATCAAACACCATTACAAGGAGAAGCGGGTTCTGACCAAGATCCACTCACTTTACATCCCCGAATAACAAAGTGCAAATCTGGTGGTAAATGCAGCAGAGTCAACATCAAGCAGATGGCTGAAGAGCCCCAAAATCAGAGTAAGAAAATAAAAAGGTGGAAGGGAAAATACCCCAACTAAAAATAGGAAACTTTTTCTTTGGAACAAGCTCCTGTGTAGTAAAGGGAAAGAGTGAGGACTTTGGGGACACAAATAGATCTGCTTCTGAAAAGGAAGACTCAACCTAAAGAGTTTAAGGGCCCAGAAAAACAAAACAAACTGTTCTGTTTCTCAAGAGCAGGTAAGAGTCTGAGTAGACAAAACCATCAGCCTTCAGGTCTGCTATCTCCTACTCTTAGATGTGCAATTCAGAGGGGCTCAGAAACCTCAGAACTTGGTAGAGCACAACAAACCAAACACCCCACCTCCCCCCACTATGAGCACGTCCCAAACTGACTGCCCAAGGACTCATCTACCATTGGAATCACACACAAGGCCCCTGCATGGACTCATTCACTGTAACGGAAACAGACCCCTGCAGCCTCCAAGTCCAGTACTGCTCAAATCCTACCCTGGGGGCACGGCTGTTCACAGGTGTAGGCAGAGCTATTACCTGGCTGACCCTGGGGTCTCTGAATCTTCTGTAGCTATCTATTTACTTGACAGCCTATTAGTCCACCCCTTACAAGAGCTGACAGTCTTCCACATCATAGAGATCTTGTTCAGGGTGAGACACACAGATTGAGTGCCTCTCAAGCAGGACCTTGGAGCACTCAATCCAAAGGGTGGTCAATATACCACCAGTCACAGTAAACTAAACAGAGATACTGAAATTCAGCTTATAGATCATTCTTGGTTATCATCCAAGACATGAAAGAGAATGGCCTGAGGCTTATTTGGAGGTTAAAGCAGACTCTGAAACTATGTACTGGAAATTCGCTCTAAGCTCAGCTTTCCTGAAACAATTCCCCTCGAGTCAAGCACCCCACTCAGACTATCTCAGCTCTAACACATTCCCAATAGGTTCCGGTGGGGTTGGAGGGAGGTACTTTGGGGAGTAACAGGAGGGAGGCATTACTCGTCTGTTTTGGAGCCCAGAATGCCCTTGAGAAGAGCCAGGCTGTGAAAAAGTGAGAGGTGGCTGACTTCAGAGCACCAGGGCAGTTTAGGGCTCCTGGTCAGGTGCATTCCACTCAGACAGTGATTCAAGAAGGCAAACTGCTAACAGGGTTGATGACTCAGTGCCAGACGTGGGCACTGAGGGAAGAGAGGAAGGTCCTATAGGGAGGACTATGAAACAGGAAGAAACCAGGAAGAGTAAATTTCCTTTCATAAAAAATTTAGCCTGATAAAAAATATACAAAGTTGAAATTTGTTAAAGACATTGATAATAGGAGGAAAGACAACTTCAAATTGGTATGTGTTCCCACTTAAATGCTAACATGGACACGGACACAGATTGCTGCCTTGGGCAGCAGACAGACAGAGACATCTGGGGCAGATGAATACCTAAAGAGCCAGTGCCTGTGATGCTCATTAATACAACAGCTGACAAACAAATGTACAGAAATTTAATTGAAGAATCAAAGAGTAAAGGAGAGAAAAATCTTAAAACTCAACCCTGGGCTGAGGAGGTGCCACACAGCACTGCATCTGGCACAGACAGCGATGGGGTGACTGGCCAGGAACTCCTAGAGCAGCTTCTGGTAACAGTGGGTGCAAAGCAATGAAAGACATACTGGCCACTGGAACATTTTTCTTCTTACTTTGGGGGCGGGCCAGAGGTGGGCAACACACAGACCCCTGCCTCGTGGGCATGGCGCCACCAGCACTACACTCTGAGTATCTCCAGACAGTTGTTGTAGCAGATGGCAATCCAGTCGGGCTGAGTCGATGCCCACTGTACATTGTTGATCTCTCCTTCAGCTGTGTAGGCCAGGATGGGGTCCTCAATGGCCCGGGGCATCTGCTGGATATCCCAGATGAGAGCCTGGTGGTCATCCGCTAGGGACAGAAAAAGCCAGCAAGCTAGGTCACAACTCAGGCAATGAGGATAATGACCCCTTCCATTAGGGTGCTGGGGGAGGTGGTGTCACAGTTTACAAACCATTTGTTCACCAAAACTCCAATGAGCCCCCACTTTATAGACGATGAAACGGAGATTCAGGACAGTTAAGGCCACTTGCCCCCAAACCAGAGCTATACAGCTGGTGAGTGGCAGGGCTGAGATTCAGAGTAAGGCCTGTGTCCCTGGCTCTACCTACTGCTACAGAGCTAGGCAGCAGACCAGGATTTAGATGGCAAGCATCAGGAAAGGATGAGGGGGTGGGATAAAAATAATCCCAAACTAAGTCACTGCAGCCACTTAAAGTACTTAAGTGATTACAGTTCCCTCTCTGATGATTCAATTTAATGGGATTCCCATTTTATGGATATTTATACTTCAGTGAGGCATTACACAGACAATGAAATAAAAGCACTGTGTGGATATATTCTATTAAGAACAATTCTCTGATGAAAATGACCCTGGGAAACACAAGAAGGTAATTGTCTTAAAAATGTATATATAAGCATATGAAAAATGACTGGAAGGAAATATATCAAAATGAGAACAGCAGTACTGTTAGGATGGCAAGGTTTTAAGTTTATTTTTCTCTTGGTCTTAAGTGATCTGTAATGTGGTCATATTACTTTCATAAATCAAAATATAAGTTCGCAAATTACAAGAGGGAAAAATAAAAGCAATGACCTTCAATACCTCACTGTCCCTGGATACCAACCACCCATCCTGATGTGAAAGCCTCTCTGATACACAGGAGAATTGGAAAGGCTAAACCTTCCTGGGCCACGCTCATGTGGGCAGCACGCGCCTCCTGCCAAGGCCCTGCAGGCTGCACAAGCTGTGAGACGCCCTTCCCAGGGACACCTGTGTCAGATCTGGGGGGACGTTTTAAACACTCAGCACCTTGTGATGTATTGAGTTCCTTTTCCTCAACACTCAACCAAGCCACTCTTCAGCAGCAGTTCCTTTGACTGAGGGACTGGAGTCAGGCGTAATACACACAATGGCAGCAAGCCAGGCAAAGGCACCTGACAGGAGCAGAAGACGGGCTTCTGCAGGGGGCACCAGCACTGCTCTCCAGGAACAGTGGACAACACAACTTTCTTTTTTCCTTTTCCCACCCTTCCCTGTCCACACCCCTGGGAAAAAGGAAGGCAATAATGAAGAAGTCAGACCACAGAGGAAGGCAGCAGGCCCCTAACTGCTCCTCAGTGAGACATACAGGCATGAGCAGAGGACCCAAAACAGGAGACGTGTCATGCCTTTCAAATTAACGCTAAAATGGCAGACACCAAACCATGAGCAAGGAATGGCTCCACAATGAACAAGGAAATGAGGATGCCACTGATCAGTGAGGAGAGGAGGAAGTGTGTTAGAAGGAAACGCAAGGCACTGGAAAAGACAGGAGCAGAGCCTATGGGGCGAGACTGGACTCCTGGGTAAAACAAAGGACGAGACATTCACACTGGGGGGGGGGCTGCTGTGTCCACATGAGAAGGCATGGATGGAGACGCTGCTCTTAGGGGTCACCTGTGGAGCGAGGGGACTGAGGGCGAAATGACTTTCACCTTCTTATTTTGTATACCTCTGTATTAATTTTTATTAACAGACTTATTTCCAGAATAAAAGCACACTGACTGACGGCCAGAGTATTACTAAGGGGTACCCATTCTGGTCTGGCAAATTGTGAAATGAGAACTGCAAGTCACACACCACTGACCAGGCCAGGCCACGCAGGGGCCCTTCACATGTCCAGAGCCCTGGGCATGTTCATCACACCTCCCAAGGGAGGTGTCAGTTGTGACGGTCCCTAAGATTCTGGTCATCCAAGAGAGACTGCCCCTCTTCTCCATGGATGCGCCCACCTAGACTTCAGGAGGGGTAGTGTGAGAGACACAGGCCTGTAACTGACACCTGAAGTGAACAGCATATGAAGGTGCCCCAATACCACTGAGGGCACAGGACCATCTGGATACCTGGACTGCTTCAATTTCACAAATGTACAGAGGAGCAACTGGGTTACTCTGTGTAAAGCTCTCACACTATCCTTGAAAAATAACAAGAATTACAATTTAAAGGAGAGAAAAAGAAGATCTCCTTCCCTTTGCCTTCTCATTACTCCCCCTTCCCATTCCTCCCTCCCCCACCCCAGCAATTACCTGCAGTACAGATGTGGCAGGATGAATGTGGGGCCCAAGCAATGCCATTGACACACGCTCGGTGGTTGTTTAACCTGGCAACAGGTGTGCAGGGAACTCGGACGTCCAGAATCACTACCTGCAGAAATAACAAGTAAAAGGCTCAAGAACTTCAGGGTGTGGCAGGAAAAAACAAAAAGATGCCACCCAAGAAAAAAATCTGCAAAGCATAACTTGTTCATTTGTGGATTTAAAGACTGTTAGAGACAGAGGGTCTCAGTCCCCAAAGTATTACATACTTTGGATATTGGAGGAAAAAAGAAAACAAAGAAGGCATAGACAGTTTGTATCTTAAGCAACACAAGGCCTTAGACTAATAAGGAAGAGGAGAAATAGGAGTAGGTAACATGAATTTGGACAAGCCAGGAAGTCCCAGCAGGGGCCTATGCTAAGAATTCTGTACACACTCAGCTGCATGAATGGGAGCCCCCTCCCCGCAACCCCCAAAGCAGAATTTGAAATGGAAGGAGCCTTAGGTACTGGCTTAACCGCAAGTTAATTACTGCATCATCTACACTCACCATTTACTGCTTTTATCAAGCAACAGGCTACAGAGAGCCGCCACTTCCACGTCTGTTTGCTAAAGCTGGGAGAAGCTGTCCAGACTAAAGTAGGGGAAATCTGTTCCTTTTTTTTTTTAATCTGTTCTTTACTCTGCACCATAAGCACTTATGACTTGGTTTACTTTTTAGATACCACTTTTTTTGGCTCCAACCCCGACTCTCTCCATGTATTAAAAAGTTTTTAACACACAGTCCTTGTTCTAAACCAGGTTTTCTCAGTACCACTCACATTTCAGGTTAGACAATTCTCTGTCGTGGGGGCAGACCTGTGCACTATAGCATGTTTAGCAGTATCCTTGGCCTCCATCCACTAGATATGAGTAGCACAGCTCCCTACCCCCAAGTCAGGGCAACCGAAAATGTCTCTAGACATTTAAAAAGATCTTCTGAGGAAAAAATTGCCAGCAGTTGAGAACCAGTCTTCTGGATACAGTAAGCAGTGCCAGAGGTAGGGGCAAGGCCTATGAGCGCCTGAAGTGGGGTACTTACTTCCATTCCATCCATGGCCATGGTGGCCAGGTAGTTAGGGTCCTGCTTGTTCCAGCAGAGGCGAAGCAGCGGGTGATGCTGTGGGTCTTCGTAAATGATGGTGCTGTGTTCTAGATGGCGGAGGTCAAACATCCGCACGGAGCCATCAGCGCCCACAGAGGCAAACATGTCTCTGCCACCCCCAGCCCGACTAAACGCGATATCATAGACCTGTTGGTGAGTAAGAAGCTCAGTTAGTCCATATCCGTAGCCTCCTCCTCCAGTAGCAGGGAAACCTGCTGTCCCTGGTTCCCCTAAATCCCACTCCTGGTGCAAGAGGAGGTAAATAAAGCCACTGTCTGTGAGTACTGCCACCTGGGAGCTCTAACATCAGTGACGTCCCCAAGATCACTCTGCTATAGAAATTGGCTGGCTTCTTCCCAAGTTCCTGCCTTTATCCCGTAACCCCTGTGGTAAAACAAAGAGCGCACACCCTGCTGTCCAGCACAGCACAAGTAACTCTGAGCCAGTGGCTGTCCTCTGCCACACTGTTAGACTGAGACATTTATTTCCCGGGCCTCAGTGGCTTTCACATGCGCACAACCAACAGCAGACCCGTGACCACATCAAGGCCAAGATCATCGATTTGACAGGTGGAAGCAGCCCTCCTGCAGACACTTAATAGCAGCCAAGCAAGTTCTGCGAAACCTGGACCTGACACTTGTTTGCAAAAAGAGGAACAGCAGTTTTGAATCGTGGAGGCTCAGGCATTCCTATATTCAGAGGTTTAGCATTACTCTCCTGTCCTAGGACATGCTCTTGTTTCTTCTCCTAGTTGGTTTATATTCACAAGTGAATCCATGTAGATTTTGAATCACTATTTTCTGCATTAATTACCTGCTGCAGACATTACACACCACTAAAATAGGAGTGGAGAGCAACAGAGATCTTCAGAGAAAGAAAGGGACAAGAGAGACAGACAAAGCCACAGGCAGGTGGCAGGTGGTGGTGGTGGTGGTGGTGGGGTGGCAGTACAGAGAGAGAGAAAGAGAAAGTAAAAAACAACTGCCAAAAATACCCATCTTCTGGGGTCAAGGATAACAGCAGCCAACTTCTGGGGAGAAGTGAATGGAATCTCTTACTAAATACCAGCCTTCTTGAGGTTCTGCCTACTAAGGGACACTACCAAATGAGCATTTGTTTCTATTCAACCTGATAAATTCCTTTTTCTTGGGCTGACTGAAGGAATCGTGCTTTTCCTTCTATGGCATGAATCAGGAGTGGTTCAAAAGGGAACTGGGCCTGTCATCACAAGGAGGCCCGGCAGGTCAGGGCTCTGCCCAGCTGTGTAGGGCAGGGCACTTTTATCAATATGTGCACCCCCCCAGAAGCAGGGCCACCAGGGCAGCATTACTAAGCAATACGATGCCCGTCAGCGTTGTGGCTGAGGTGTAAAGCTCTCGCAGCTTTGACCGACTGCTCCTTCATCTGTGCTGCACAGTGTATTTCACCATAACCCCAGGCAGGTGACAACTCTCAGATATGTGCTACCCTTCTCTACACCAATCCAGCAGGCAGCAAAAAGAGCCTCCAAACGCCTTTACTTTGCAGTGAAAGAGAGGTGGACTGGGAAAGAGCGAGGGTGCTAGCAGGTATCACTGTTTCTCTCAGGGTGACCAGCCTTATGTCCACTTCTTCAAGGCCAGGGTGCTGGCCCAGGGTCTGTCTGCTGTTGAGATCCTTTCCCAGCCCTTCCCTCTGGTAGGGGGAACCTAAGATATTTCTCCTCCCCTCTATTCCCTGAAGTGTCTCTGGCAGTGGCTTTGTCCCCTCCACGGTTCCAGCTTTTGCCAGGTAGACCCACTCTGCGCTCCAGGAACCCTGCCTCTTCCTTTTGCCCCTCCAGCCTACGGGCAGTAGCAGCTCCTGGCTGCTGCTATTCTCTGCGTTATCTCACTGGTGCTGGTGTGGCTCCTTGCTTTACCACTGCCTGTGTAAACCATCTCCTAGATCAAATCCCCTCAGTTTAAATATTTACAGTAGTTCTAGTTTTCTGGGCTGAACCCTAACAGAACAGCAGGCTAACTTGTCTTGTAACTAAAATGTAGCAATCTGTTCCACCTGATGCCAAGAGGATTTCCAGAAGTTCCTTACTGGGCCTCTCTGTAGGACAAACTCTTCCTTGGCCACTTGGTTAGCAGCAGCCAATCCCAGCAGTCCTGTAACAGATCCCACCCTCAGGGGCACAGAAAGCCAAAAAGAGCCCTTAGAAAGAATGAAATCTGCCCTCCTGTGGATGACCTCAAGCTTCCAACCTAAGGTCAAGGCATCTTTTTTATCTGTCCAGGTATTAATGCTTCTGACTGTGTGGAGTAAGGTGGAAAAGAAAAGGGAACACTACCCACAGGAAATCAGAGGGCTAGGAGCATGCAGTGACTCTGAGAGGAAAGATTTATGGCCATTTTCCAAAATCACTCAGAAAAATGCTTTAAAACACAATCACAAATAACTTTCCTCGGGTTTTCCCATAAACATAGGAGAAACATCACCATCAAAATAAACCATATTTAATTCCAAATAGTTTTCAAGTATTAAGTATTAAACATACTAGAATGTCATACACATTAGAGAAAAAATGATGAATGAGGTTTGTCTGCCAGGAAACTTTTCCTCTTCCTGCCTCCCTCCCACCATCCTTCCCCACAAAAAAGTAAATATATTTCAAGATAAGTGTCATTTTTTAATCACATCAGGGTCAAGTTTGTCTAGAGGCAAATTCATGATTACAAAACAGCAATCTCTGGCATAAAAACTATAGACTAGAATAAGTCGTATTATCCAATAAATGCCTTACTTTACCAGTGTGGTTTTCTGCTGTTTCAACACAATTTAGACAAGATGCTGGCATTAATTATGATTCTCCACACAATCTGCAAGTAGTGAGAGAACAGCCTGATCTCACACAGAAGGCACAGACAGCAGCTGAGGAAGGCAGAGAAGGAACGGTGTCATTACCTCTTTGTCGTGGGCGATCAGTTGGGTCTTCACATGGCCAGACACAAGATTCACTCGCCCCAACACCTGCCCTGTCTCCAGCCCCCAGATGGTACAAGTTGTATCAATGCTGGAGGTACCTAGAAACAACCAGTGCAAGTCAGGGCTACAGGAATGAGATGCCCACGCGAGCTCCTCTCCTCGTGCTTCACTCCTCCATTCAGCCCAGCAGACAACATGCCACAACACTTCCCAGCAGAGGCAGAGCCAGAGTCACGCATCCAGTCCTTACCCTAGGACCTTTGACTCTGACTGGAGAGACAAAATACACACTCATGGGAAGCTCAACTCCATTTAAGGAATTAACAACACATGCTGTGTTTAGCCTTTTCCCCACCTGGCCCCCTTCTAGGGTGATGTGATGCATGTACCTCAGGCCCCAGGTCAAAAACTGGCCCAGTGTTATATCTGAGAAAATGTATCTTCGCTCCTTCAGAGTGTAGTACACACTCCCTTACTCCCTTACCCAAAAGATAAGGATCCACCTCATTCCAGTCAAAAGAAGTCAGTGGAGCACAGAAATCCGAATTCTTGTTATTGTTTAACAAACATTCCAGCCTGGTCTCTGTTTCACCAACCTGAAGGAACAATGTTTTAAAAAGATCAGCCAGTCTTATCCTCACAAAAAATCTTTAAAGCCCCGTTTAGACAGTATCTTAGTAAATGAGAGACATGGGGGCAGAACATTTTTCTCAAAAATAATAAAACCCAGAGGAACTTCCTGAATGCAGCTTCTTCCAAAGCTCTCTCCTCTGCCCAGCTTAATTTTCAAATTCTCATCCCCAGATTTTTCTAGAGGAGAGGTCTTCCCCCCTCACTCAATCCGGAATCACTGTGCCTTGCCTGGCTGGCACTGACTTCCAGGCTGTAGGAGATGCCACAGGTGATGAGCTCAGCTGAGCAGGGAGGGGAGGCTTCAAAATCCACTCATACATCACTAGAATCACTGGCCAGTACTTTAATTTACTCAGAAATATCTTGGCTGTAAACAGAGTACAAGGCCTGAAGTAGTCTCCCCACCCACACAGGTTATCGTCATTACATTAGGTTAACCGAGCCTTGGGTTTCCAGAGCTCACTGCAGCCAGCAGCAGGACTTCAAGGAACCATGGCTAGATTCACTGGGAAATCTGCTGAGCCAAACAACATGATTCCAGATCTGCTACCACTGGTTTCTCCCGGGCTGCACTGACACCTGCTGCCTCTAACCCGCCTGTTCTCTGATGATGCCACGCTGCTAGCAACAGCTGATGAGGAGAAAGCCGGTTGGTCTGGCTACCAATCAAAGCACCTGCTTACCCTCCACACACGAAGATAGTCACCACTTGTTGCCAGGAGGTCTGGATAGACGCCTTTTGTGTCAGGGATCCACATGAGCTTTGTGGTGGGATAAGGATGGTCAAAGGTGTTTCGGCAAATAAACTCCGAACTTTCTTCATCTAAACCAACAAGCTGAACCTGTGACACAACCAAATCGAGCCATGTAAACATTTGATTTTCTGCAACAGTATCAAATACATCAGAACCCTGGCTGGGGAAAGAAGTCCTGCCGCTGTCCTACAATTTACAGCAGAGCGAAGAACTGTTACAGAGGGAGAGCACCATCCCTGTGCTCCGACGAGGAAACCCGGAATCAGGGTGGCTGAGTTACATCCAACACTGCAAAATGAGAAGAGGCAGAGCCAAATCTGAAAGTTTTTGGACTCTCAACTCCTGCGCTCCTGACCCAGTACCACAGAACCGCCATTACTTGCCCAGGCAGTTCCACCTTCCCCCACAACCCCTGAAGCACCTGACAATGTGTGCCAGTGGTTTCAGTTGCCCCAGTGACTTGAAGTGCTGTGGGTATTCAGTGCCCAGGGGCCAGGATACCAAACACCCTGCAGTCCCATGCAACAAAGAAACTAACATCTCACCTAAAAAGGCAGTCATGCACAAACTGCCCCCTGGCTAGGCACCCACCAGCTGGAACAGGCTTACACAGAGGAGTATGTCAGATGAACATTCAAGAATCCAAACCACCATGACAGGCAAAAAGAGTGGGTGCCATGGATGAGGAAGTTCCCTGGTTCTGGCCACTTATTCTTAGTCAATTTTATGTATAATGATATGTATCCACCATTACATACAGAATAGTTTCACTTCATTTTTTACTAGGTTGTTTTTCTTATTGAGTTTTTAGAGTTCTTAGTATATTCTGGATTCAGGTCCCTGGTTATGTATTTTGCAAGTATCTTCTCATAGTCTATATGGCTGTTTCGTTATTTTCCTTCAGTGTTTTTTGAAGAACAGAAATTTAAAATTTTGATGACATCAGTTTATCATTTTTCTTTTATAGCTCATGTGTTTTGTGTCCTAAGAAATCCTTGCCCATTGACTAAGTATTTTTGATGCTATTATAAATGCAATTGTTTTTAAAATTCTATTTCCAATTGTTTGCCACTTCTGAGAAATACAATTGATTCTTGCGTCTATTAATCTTGGATCCTATAACTTCGCTAAATTTTTAGTAGCTTTTTTATAGTTTCCTAAGGGTTCTTCCATGTGTACTTATAGATCTTGACATCCATGTTTGACTTGAAAAAAATCTGTATGGTGACCAAAGCTAAACAGGCATTTTTTTTTTTGGTATCATTAATCTACAATTACATGAAGAACATTATGGTTACTAGATGCCCCCCATCACCAAGTCCCCACAACATATCCCATTACATTCACTGTCCATCAGCGTAGTAAGATGCTGTAGAATCACTACTTGTCTTCTCTGTGCTGTACAGCCCTCCCCGTGGCCCCCTCCTCCACATTATACATGCTAATCATAATGCTCCCTTTCTTCCCCCATCTTATCCCTCCCTTCCCACCCATCCTCCCCAGTCCCTTTCCCTTTGGTAACAGTTAGTCCATTCTTGGGTTCTGTGAGTCTGCTGTTGTTTTACTCCTTCAGTTTTTTCTTTGTTCTTATACTCCACAGATGAGTGAAATCATTTGATACTTGTCTTTCTCTGCCTGGCTTATTTCACTGAGCATTATACCCTCTAGCTCCATCCATGTTGTTGCAAATGGTAGGATTTGTTTTCCTCTTATGGCTGAACAATATTCCACTGTGTATATGTACCACATCTTCTATATCCACTCATCTACTGGTGGACACTTAGGTTGCTTCCATTTCTTGGCTATTGTAAACAGTGCAGTGATAAACATAGGGATGCATATGTCTTTTTCAAACTGGGCTGCTGCATTCTTAGGGTAAATTCCTAGGAGTGGAATTCCTGGGTCAAATGGTATTTCTATTTTGAGTTTCTTGAGGAACCTCCATACTGCTTTCCACAATTGATGATAAACAGTCATTTTTATGGAACACATACAGGATTTCAAAACCCAACATTTGTTTGGGAAGATGATGTATGAAGTTGTAGGAGTAGGAAAAATACACTGCCCCCAAACACAGTAACACTGTCCTAAGACAGCCAATGTGATATCACAATTCATGATTAACTGCTTATTTGTAATGCAGATGTAACAACTTAGAGGAAAGAGCAACAGTTTCAAGTGGGCAAGTGAGAAAAAGTGGAGTTGGGATCTCAGCACTCTTCAAAGGAAGAGGCTGAAGGCAGGAAGCTCAGCCCTGAGACCCAGGTGGGAACTGCTGGGAAAGGTTCAGAGCCTTTGGCAGCTGGGAGTGAGAACAGCAGGAGATAAGCCGAGATGGCCACAAGAGGTATTCGACCAAACGAACAGTTTTTAGGGAATTAAACAGTTGACAGTCTGACCTTGCAGAAAGTAAAATGTAAAGAAGATTCTGGATGGAACAGGGAAAACTGGCATCAGCTTTCGTGGGATAAGGAGGAGAAAACAGATGAGAGGCTAAATTGTTGGGCCCACTGGACAGAATAAAGTAAGCCTCTCACATACATTCTGGGCCAGGTACTTCATCCAAGTATTTATTCAACAAATATTCACTGAGTGGCTACTAGGTGCCAGGCACAGTTCTAAGCACTGGGGATACAGCAGCCAGCACTAAAGACAAAATCTGTCTCTGTGATTAAAAAAAACACTATACTGACTTCTAAAAGTTGCTTTTCAAATCAGGAATTCCCCCTCAAATCTCAAAATATCAGATCATGTGAGCATTCACCACCTGGGATCCCCTTAACCAGACATTCAAGGCTTTCTAACACCCAGCCCTGGCTTCCCTTACCTTCCACTTTTGTTTACCTAATTACTGCTTCCCTTCCCTTTCCTTACACTGCCCTCAGGTAAGCCTCTCACCTCCTTTCCATCAACCCACCAAATCCTCCTGCCCATGTTAATACAGCACAGTGGCATCAGGCTTCCAGGGCTCCTTATACTTGCCGCTTGTTAGCTGTGGACCTCGGACATGTTTCCCAAACCATAAGGTGAAGATATCCACGGCACCTGCCTCAGAGTTGTATGTAACACTGTAAACTGCTCGGTATGTTAGATCTCACCTCCCTCCTAAACCACCTGCAGCAGTCCCGGTGCCGTGATCTTCCAGTACTCATCCAGTCCACCCATCTGATGACTAACCCCGTACTGCCTCATGAATGCACACACATTACTGTCTTGTGCTATTTCACTTAGTAAAAGCCCTAAAAACAGGGCCTGTGTCTTACGCTCAGCTTGTACTGCTGACAGCAACAGTTTCCACACTTGGCTCAGACTTACTGGAGTGCTTCACACATTCCTGGGTGCCCCAACTCCAGCCTAAGAGTCTGATTCAACAAGTGTCAAGGGAGGCCTGGAGTCTCCCTCCTTACGAGCCTCACTGGTGACTGCTTCAGCAAGGTCTGACATCTTCTGCACAACAGAGAACCCAGGCAAAATGCCAGGAAATGGCTGGGATTTAATCTTTCCTGATCTTCCCAAAGACTTCATGTGTCTGGACAGACTTGTGCTTTATCCCTTGCCTAACTGACGTTAGCTCTTCTGCTCCAAGTTGCCAACCAAGCAGTGAGAGGAATAACTGGCTCGTGCCATTACTCCATTTTTTGTTCAGATACTCAGACATTTAAAATTAGTGATGAAAGTGAATGGAAGTTTTCTGTGAATATTCATATAATACTGAGTGAGGTGGTAAAACTTTGCATTAACTCTACTCCCAATTCTACACACTGACGCTCAAACCACAGTTTAACATATATCTTTCCAAGTCCATGCACTTATATACATGTGTATATGGCTGCATTCTGCAACTTGCTTTTAACAACATATCTTGGAAGATCTCATGTGAGTACAAAGAGCTCTCTACCTCATTGTTCCACAGCATACCGTGGCAAGCAAACCATAATTCGCTTAATCATTCATAGTTACTACCACAGGAATTATGAGGTAATAAATGTGTGTTTAAAGCTTTTAAAAAAATGTTAATAGATTTTTTCCAAAGTCTTCAAAGAGGCTGCTTCCATTTACACTTTCATTAACAATATATGAAACAGTGCCAATTTCCTCATACCTTTGAAAATACTGAAAATAATCTTAGGTTTTTTGATAATCTGACAAATGAGATATGGTATTTCACCACCATTTTACTACTGAAGCTAAGCATGTATTTGTTCCCTATTTTTACTTCTAAATAACAACTGTTAATATCTGAATGCTTATGGTAGACAAAGTATTAAGCACTGTGCCTAAAGCTTCACACGCATTATTACTTCATTAACCTTCCATGTCTCCATGAGGTAGGTACTGTTCTTTTTCCCACTTTCATGAAATACTGAGATGTTTTCATGCCCAAGAGCATGAAGCTGCCTTTTAAATATAATAGTCCCATCCCACAACCCAAGCTCTTCACCTTATGCTGAAAAACAGCAACTCAAAACACCAGTTTATTCTGAGTTGTGCGTCTCTTCCTTACTGATCCGTAGGCGCTCTTCCTCTTCCGGACGGCTACTGTGCCTTTGCTACCTAGTTCCTTTGGCAAGTCGCCCATAAAACTCTGAGGGTGCTGCCTTTCAGGAGGTAGAACTTTGATTACATTTTCAATTCATCAAAAAATACTTAAGAATTTAATTATTCAGGTTTTCTTCTTCTTGAGAAGAGTTTGGTACTTTTCTTCGCCTTAAAACTGTTTCATGTAGGTTTTTGACTGTAGTCTTACAAATCGGTAGCACTCTCATTCTTTACACCCTTTACCCGCCCCCCGACTCCAGTGTCCACCCGTGCCCACAGGAAAGAGGAGGCTCTGCCCTCTTGCCCTCATGAGGGTGAGGACTGTTGCTCTTCTGCCCCTACCCTTGACTCCTCTGACCGCTACACCGGCTGGCTGAGGCCTCCCTGGCCCTCGGGCACGCCTCACTAGTGCGCCTGCACATCCTGCTCCTGCCAGGAGGCAAATCAGCCTGCTCGTAACGGGTCTGGCCATCCTTTGCTCCAGCTTCTCTGTACTTTCAACTGAGTCGGGGAGTCAGGTTGGGGCTGCCTATGAATTAGAAATGGAAAAGCAATAAGTCTTATTCAAGCTTTAAGGCCAATCTGCCTTTTCCAACTAAATTTACCAGGGAGAAGCACCACAGTGGAAATGCTCATTCAGCTATTAATAGAATGGAGCTAGATTTCTCCTTGGCTATTATTATTTGTATATGATTTCCTTGGTAAGAGCTCCCAATGGGAACGGTGGTGAGTGAAATAATTTAGACACCAAAATTCTACCCTGAACGCCTGACTGCTTAACCTGTCATTTTTTTTTTTTTGCTCAGACTTACAAGTTTTATCTTAGTCATCTTTCGACTGAGTTTTTCTTTAAATAAGCTTTTAGATTAACAGAATTATATGTAAGACCATTGTATAAAACCAAAGTGTAAGTATACGAAAAAACTTAACTCCCCCATCCCATCCCAAATGTCACACTATTAATTTGGTGCACACTGCTTCTACAGTTTTCTCTAAGCTCAAACATATATAAACAAATATAAGGTTTTCCCTCAATTCTGAGAAAAACGGGATATTTTATCCAATGCTATAAATCTTTTTACGAATTTAATAAAATGGGCATTCCTCAAGCCAATATGTAGATCCAAGTTATTAATTAGTGCATATTTCATAGAATAGAGGCACTATATGGCTCAACAGCTCCCCTAATCATGTACATTATGTTTCCCTTTTCACCACTACTTCCTATATGCTTTGTACATATGTGCTTATATCCTTGTGTCTTTATTTCTGGAGGTGAACGTCCCAAGAATGAAATGCTGTATTAGAAGGATGTGCATTTAAAATTTTAATACATGATTTACTTTACAAATAGGCTACAGTAACTCATACTTCTACCAGCAGTATGTAAAGGTATTAATTTCCCCAAACCCTCAACAGTAGAAACATTAACCTAATTTTTATATACTTTGAAAGGGAAAAATACCACAAGGTTCAGTTTTCATTTTCTTAAACTACCTGGGAAATTTCACACTAAGTAAGTAGCTCCTACTGTCTGCAATTTCTTGAAAATATTTCCCCTGGCCTATCATTTGTGTTTTGACTTTGTCCATTGTGCTATCTTTCCACGCATAAATGTTTTGTTATGTACTGTCATCTGTCAATCTTTTCCTTAGTTGGCTCTGGGCGACAGGCTTAAAGATTGCATTCTCCTCTGCTCACTCCCACTGTTGCAGTACAAATTTCCCAGTCAATTTTCTTCTATTGTTTGTGGGACTTTCCTTTATATTTAATATTTGATCTGGAATTGATTTTCATATACAGTGTGAATTAGAGGGTTCTAAACTTTTCTGCCAGATGGGTAGCCAATTATGCCATACAAGTTATTAATTTATTTCTCCATGAATTAAGGTTCTATCTTATCACATACTACATACTTCTATTAGATACTTTGATCAGCTTTGCAATATTCTATGTAGTTCTGCCAATCTCTGGCTTTAAAAATATACTATTTCCAGTATGTTCATTCTAATCTGGTTAAGTCAAGTGTTCTCCCTGTTTTTCAACACATTCTTTTTTTTTTCCCATAATTTATTTTTTGACATTGGTATATATTTAAGACTGTGGAGAAAGTATTCCAGTTCTGGCTTTGCTTTTACCTTCTGTGTCATTTTGGGCAAGTCAGTTAGCATTTCTGGGCTTCAGTTTCCTCATCTTTCCGTACGTTATGAAACACGGTATTTTTTTCCAGTCAGTTGATTTCCCTTAACTTAAAAAAATGTTTTTTCTTAATACATAGTATTTTTGTAAACTAAGTTACCTTTTAAAAAGTGTATTATTTTTACAATATAAATCTTCCATATTAGGCATATTCTCAGATATTTACAATGGCACAATCTACAACAGTTGCAGATTTGTAGACATCACTGCATTACCTCTGACATCAAATATGGCTGGCCTAGCTTTCCTTCTCTTCAGAAGGACTTGATCATTTTGCCTGCATGTCCAAAAGATTCTTTCTTTACCCTTAAAATGTAGAACCTTTCTAGGAAAGTTTTCAGTACCAATTATTCTGTGTCCATTTTTCTTGAGATAGTTTGAACTCATTACTTCAAACCTTTATTTCTATAAAGTTTTAACTACTTGACTTTTTGTGTTTCATCTCTTTAGGCTTCTTCAGGGACATCAATTACACCTAAGGTAGAGCTCCTTTATTTTCTGCATCTATTATATTCTTTCTAATGGTTATTTCCACTTCACTGTCTCAATCTGTCTCCTATCCTTCACTGTGTTTACAGTAGTTTGCATTCATTTTTATTCTCTTTCCAGTGTGGCTTTTAATTCTGTGATACCTTTGTTTTGTCTTCTCTTCCATTATTTTCCTGGGCTCTACCTGCCAATGTTTCATTTTCTCCTGTCACTGTGACTTATCTTACCTGATCTCTTGTATCTCTGATAGGAGTTCTTTATTTTCTTAACTTCTTTGTATTTACAATGGAAGGACTATTAATTTTCAACTGAGGTAAAAACACTTTTCTAGTATGGGCACTTCACCTGCCATTTGTTTCCATTTTTTTCCTCCTTTCTTAGAGTATTTTTCCATAGTTACTATGTTGGCTCCTTTTGAATGAGGCAAGTTCTTCCTAGATGATCTGAAGGAAGGTCCTATGAGAGAGGGGCTAGGACCATGTTCCAAGTTAGCAGAAACTAAAAACTAAAACGTGGAGCTTTTGCATCTCCCCAGCCAACAGAGATGAGGTGCTGTCAAGCTGCTCTCAATTCAATCTCTTTCAACCTGCCTCATTTTAGCCCTTCCAGAGAGGACAGCACAGGCTGTGGGTCTCCTTGTACAGCTTAGCTCTCCTCTGATCCAAGGATTTTGCTGGGCAAAATCCTATTCTGGAGAACTTTGCTCTTCTAAGTTTGAAATCTGCAGCTACTACTTAAAGCTGTTTTCAGTTAAAATCTGAAAAACAGTTTAAAATCTGCTTTCTTGGTCTCTTCACATACCCATTTGACCTTCACTATACTGCTGTCCTTCCTCACACATTGTGGAAACATAAGGCAATATTATGACTTGAATCATCTTATTGTCAACATTAAGGTTACCCCTGTGCCTTTTTCTCCAGTCTTCCCTGTCCTCCTACCAAACCTCTCTCTCTCATCAACTGCCCTTTCTGCAACTATTGCTTCACAACTTTATCCCAACATGTGAAACTAATGCCCCTAAAAACAAAAAGCTAGGAAGATAATTTTTACTTTAAACTGTGGATACTACTGTCAGATGTCTCCTAAGAAGCAGATATGCAACATAAAATGTTTATTTACTCCTTGGAGGCGTGACTTCACTTACAATTACTTTTCTGGATAACAACATAAATTACTTCTCATGATACTCATACCTTATGTTTTTAAAAGACGTAAAAGGTGCCATGTCTACCTTGTTATTATACTCTTTGAGAGGAAACTGTATTTCACTTTATTACACACAGTGCTATAGGTACCAGAATGTGAAGGTGAATGCATGTGTGTGTGTGTGTGTGTGTGTGTGTGTGTGTGTATAATGTAGTTTTTTAAAAAGCGCAAGTTACACCCTCCCCAACCCCTGCCACCAATATACCACTCCAGTTAGGGGAACATTTTCCTACAAATGTTAATGTTCCAAAATCAGCTAAAGCAAAATTCTGAGAGAATAAATGAGCTTTTTCTGGTCTTTTCCATCTGTCCTCCCTCAAACCTGTTCCTGATTACTATTGCTCAATAGCTACAGAGAGGTGCTGCCTGTCAAACTTTGAGATAATTCTGGCACAGCACCTCTTCAGCTCTTGGCTCAGAGCATTACCCAATCAGCTCTGGCATCTCGGCTCAGGCAGGCCAGACTACCTATAGAACACAGATTCATTCTCTGTTCAAATCACAACATCTCCAGTAAGTCTGTGTGAAACAGGTTACAGCAAAAGAAAACAAAGCAGCAGCATTTTTATCCAGTGGTCCCATGGAGGAATTAGTCCTCTCACTGTCTAGGAAAAAAAAAAAAAAAAGGAAGTTAAAGCCAGTAGCGTTTTATATTTTAAATTCCCCTACTGACAAGTCTTGCCAGGGACTGATGGAGAACTGCAAAATTCTAAATATCTATCAAAAATACTTATGTTCATTAAAACACTTTCTCTTTTTTGCTGCCAATCTCAAATCTGCTAATAAAGTCTGTAGAAGGTTACCAAGTATTATCACTGTGAATAAAACACATGTGTATGTATTCAATACATATTTGTTGAACTAATGAGCATATGAATGAGAATCCTAACGGGCTGCTACAAATACTGATAAATGAAAAATTATATGCCGGAGTCAAAATCATGTGCCAAACAGACAAAGTAACTGCATTAAAAATCTCAGAGGAATGAACACAGGCTGCAAGGCAAGCATTCATCTCATGTGTATTTCAAGTACAAGGTAGTCTTACCCAGATTCATCACCAATATTACTCAAAATGCATTAGGTATACGGACAGTTTCTCTCTTCAGAACCTCAAAAATGTTTTCTGTATGTCAAATCTTAAAGAGCAAATGGACAGCTAGGTAAATATTAAGGCAAAATTGATCCCAATCACTGCCAATTCCATTCAAAACCAACCCTGAAGCATGCAACTAAGTGGTATAGATGCCCAGGAACTGCTACCCATCTTTCCCCATAAAAAGAGAAACATCACCTGTCTAAAAACCACAGATACTATCAAAACTCAGCAAAAATACCAGAATTCTTATATGAGAGCTACTGTGTCGAAGCCAGGTAGGACAAGAGAAAATGAGCTTAAACTAGCACATTATAGTATTTGGAGTCTGAGTACAAGAAGCTTCTTGACCACAAAATGGGTTTGGTTAAATTAAAGGAATCTCCCCACCTGACCCCCACCCTGGGTCTTTGAATTGAAAGTAGAGGAATGAACATAAGGACCTTTTGAGGTAACTTTCGGACATAAAGTCCTGATTCCAATCTGGAAAATGTAGAAGTCAAATTTACCTAACATCCATATAATTCTTCTTGATTATATTTCAATTATAGGCATAGTAATAATGATGATTAAATAATAATAGCTAAACATTTCTAAATCGCTTATTATGTGCCAGGCAGAGTTCCTGAGCCCAATATATATGTTAACTCATTTATCTTACTTATAACCCTCATTTTACAGGTGAGGAATCTGAGGCACAGAAGTTAACTTGCCCAAGACCACACAAAACTGGGAAGTGGCCAGACTGAGATCTCGGCTACTGCTATCTGGTAAGGGAGTCTTTTCCATGGGATGGAGGGCAGAACCAATGTCAGGTGCATGCCCATGCAAAAAGACAGGACTCCTGCCTGTGGGCAGCAGAAGCCAAGGCAGCTTCAGGGCAATGTTCTTAGAGTGCCCCCAGGACCACCACGGCTGAATCACTTGGGTGTCTGTTAACTTCAGGGGTGGAGCCTAGGAATGTACCAGTCCCACAGGGGATTCTTACACACACACAAAAATGTAAAGAACCATTGCTCCAACACCCAGTAGAGACCACAAAAAGAGAACATAAAACATTACCAAGAACCAATAATGGGGCTTTTCATTCCAAGTGTAGTTGACAGGATCTGGTTCTTCGCTCTGCAACAATGCCCAAATTTATTCAAATGGTGGAACATCTGGAAGTCAAGTTCTTGAACCACTAACAGAGTTAATTCTATTGAACTACAAATAATTTTACTATAGGAAAACATGGTTATGTTAATACAAAATTTTTAAAGTTATAACATTTTCCTTACAGTGTCTCCACAGTAAAAACAGATGACTATTTCTGGGCTTTTTCATCAGTTAATCATCAGTTAATATGCTGTGTCCACTTATTTTGTCCTCTGCTGGCTATTACTATTGATGGCAAGCAGGAATCAAAGATCTGGAAAGTCTAACCAATAGTTTTTATATTCCTCTGTATTATGACATATCATACCTCCATGAAAAGGCGTCTCCAAAACTGAGGCTGAGAATCACTGCACTGAGGTGGGATTTATGGCCACGTGCCCCTAGGCACAGCTCCTCTACAGCACCGTTTCTTAACTTGAGGTCCAGAATTGCATTCATAATTTCACTAACCTCTAGCTGAAATTTCAGCATTTCCTTCCATTACAAATCAAGGCAGCTATTCACAGTGGCATCAATATCTGTGACTTTGTCACCAACAGAAATCACTGATTCTTTTCATATCACCTTTACAGTAATTACATTATTTTGAAATGCTGTTGACCTTCATCATTACTTCAAAATAGTAATAATTACACCGGAAGGTCTAATTTAATGAGTCAGTTCAAAAGTACATGTTAACACCACTTTAAAAAATGTTTTCGATAAATGTAGTTCACTGTAATTGGTTTTCTTCATAATCCTATGTATTTCATGCATTTGAAAACATAAAGATGAAAAGAGGTCTATGGGCTTCAGACTGCCAAAGCTGTCCATGTGTATGCACATACACGCACAGATTAAGAACTCTGACTTGGATAGGTGGGGGCACAAAAATAGTTTTAAGACATTGTATTGCCCACATCATGCAAGTGAGTTCAGACAGAGGTAACTGCCTGCGCTGTTACTACCAGGAGTATCAGTCTGCATTTCACTGTAAGACCACACTGCCTGTGCGCGTGGCACAAAGAAGGAGTTCCACACATTGCTAAATGAAAGGACAGACTTTGGGGTAGAGCTCCTGCAACTGAGGTGTGACACCATTTACATCACTGATTCCACCAGCAGCCTAACTGTAGTTCAGTTTCTTCTCTCTTGGAAAAAGTACTACCACTTACCCAAGCTGACTCTGAAAGAACTTACAAGAAAAAAAATCATCAATTCGTATGAAAAAACTCAAGCCCTTAGGAAGATATAGTTTACTTAGAAAAAAAAAGTATTTTTAAACAACAGTTCTAGCGGCCCCAATTTTATGAACAGTTTCTACATGAAGACCTTGAATTACACTCCCAGCTCTGCTGTCCACTATGGCTATGTGGAAGCGAGAGGCATCTGAGAAAAGAAAATTAAGCTATAATCTTGCTCAGGACTTTCTGCTTTCTGTGAGCAATGGGTGGACTTCAAGATCAGTGCATACTCCCTGGGATTTGTTTATAAATTGTGTATTTGTGATGTCTGGGCAATATAGAGTCCATTGCTTTCATCTATTTATCAAAGGGGGTTCCAAAAAAGTTAAGACCTAACTCTAGAAAAACAATTGTGATCCTGAAAAATTGCAGACAGACTTACAATGTTCAAATTTTTTTTTCATGGTACTTTTATGTGTGAAAAAAGAACTTTCCTACAACAAACCGTGGGTCAGAAATGGTAAGACTGGCAGGGGCAATGCCCCACAGCTACTCAGCGGATCAGACAGAACCCAACACTTGACCACCTTGGCTTTTTTCCCTGCACTACGCCTGTCACTATCCACACAGTTTTATTTTTCTTAATTCATTGTGTCAAGCAGAGGTACAGGCATAAACGCCACTCGCGGCAGCTTTCAGTTGCTCAGATCACTATCGATCACAATGTTTACTCTAATACAATACATAGAAGAGATTAAGGGGTAAAGGAAAAAAAATTCTTCCCACTGACTTATTCAACAACTTTCAAAAATAAATTTATGCTGCACTGCCAGCTTAAAAGCTTGCTCCTAGGACCCGTACTTCTATGAATTCTTAAATTATGGATGTTCAGAAAGACTTACAGCTCAAGTTTACACATCTATATTACCATGAAAGATGCCAAGAAAAGACAGGTCAAGTGTCACCCTTTCCTATTCTGAAAACAATGGTGGCATTCCAAAAAGGGGTAGCTTTGAAGAGAACGCATATGAGAAGGCAATGGCCTGGCAAAAGGGCTGGGACGGGCTGAGGGAGCAGGGGGAGGAGGAAAAAAGTCTGCGCAGTAAACTGCCCTAACAGAAACCTAGTTTCGCCAGAAGTGAACGACCATCGACTGAGGCTCCATCATTCTCCTTCACAGCCATCATTTTCTCTTCCCTCCGCCGCTCCGCAACTGAAGCAATGCGGCAGAAGAGGGGATAGGAGTGATGTATGGCGTAGCTTTGGGGTATAAACTAGGTCCGAGACCTGTTTCCGTCAAGAAATAGCTGACTCGGGCAAGTCGCAACATGGTGCCTCAGTTTCCCCATCGATAAAATGGGGTTAACTTCGCTCCTGACCGCACAGGAAAGCTGCGAGGGTTAAATGAGACAACGAGTGCCAAACCCTGTGCACACGGCCAGACACAGAGGAACGGCCGAGGCGCTAAGGCAGGTCCGCAGAAGGATGCGGGGGTCTGCGCTCCGGCCCCGGAAGGGAGCCCCGGGCTGCTCCCCGCCCGCTGGTTCCGATCCCCGGCCCGGCCCACCTTGTTGTTGTACTCCTCCACGAAGCTGCCCAGCGCCAGGCGAAAGCGCTTGTCCGGCCGCACGCTCCAGTTCATGGCGTAGACGGTCCAGGGCGCTTCATACTTGTAGATCTCCTTCCGTTTGCCGTGCAGGGACATGGTGGCGGCGGCGGGGCCGCAGTACCGGCCAGGACGACCGCGGGCTGCCGCGGGCGGGGTGCGAGGCGGGCGCGGAGCCGGGCCTGGGACCGAGGGGTCAGAAAGGAGGCGGGGCGGGGGCGGGGGCGGGGGCGGGGAGGGACAGTCTAGCCCGGAAGAGGGGCCCCCGCGACGGACACCGACAGGAGGGCCCGACCCCCAGTTCCAAACCTGCTTGGGCTCGGGCAGCAACCCCCTTCCGTTTGGGACTTCGCCCCTCCCTCTTGGAACGGAAGACACAAGAGCCCCTTATCGGAGCCGGCCGTTGGCTGCCAGACACGTCCTTTCAAAGGGCTCCTTCTTCTCACTGGCTACTGCTCCTTTTAGATCCTGAAACCTCCTGGCTATTGGCGTAAGTGTTTGTCATTCCAATTACTTTCCCCACCCAATTCCTGGAGGGAGGTGCTCTCAGCCCCAAAGGTCATTGGCTAACAGAAATGTCAGTCAAAAAGATAGAGGCGCAGTGCGGGTGAATGGGGGCGTGGGTGACATAGAAGCTAGGCGTGCGGAGTAGCAGGCCTTCAGGTTCTAGGTCACGTACTTGCGAGTGAACCCTCTAGTGTGCCCTACTCTGACTTCCCCTGTGCTCTGCTCTGCTATTCCTAGCGGCTTCTCTACACTGTCGACTAAAAATTAAAATTCCGTCTTAAACCAGCTTGCTGCTTTTTGCTGCTCTGAGCTCGGCGGCCTTGCAGCCTGGCCCTCACCAAACGGGAACCACCTTAATTGTCCCCTCGTGCTAAAACCCCCTTTAAATCAGGTTGTTGTTCGCCCAGTGCCGCTAGGGCAGGCCGCAGACAAGCCTTTCAGACCGACTAGCTAATGTACTGGGCTAGGCCAGCTTTAAGTCCGGCCTTTCTCTGCTTTCCTGACCATTCTAGAAAAGCTCAGAATTCTAGGGTTGGTCTTCAGTAGGCAGCGACCTGATGAACTTGGCTCAGAAGTTCTTGTCGGTTCCCATTCCATCCTTTCCCCGACAGGAGTTCCAAGACAAATGCTAATTAAACCGTAAGTCTATCTGTGTCATGAGTTTGAAATGCAGAAGAGTCTGAATCTATAATTTAAGTGTTTTCCAATTCCTTGCTTTCAACAAAATTCAAGGATTGTAGTGATATTTAACATAATTTTTAAAGATAAATGTGATTGTTGACAACTCAAAATTCAAAGAATGAGTGACACTGGTATGTCACCCCTCACAGTCTTACCTACTCACTTATGTGAACAGGTGTTCTTTGTTGCTTAAGTTTTATTAAAAAAAAGGAAAGAAAAATAGGTACAAAAATGTTGCTGAACTTTGTCCTGGCCTAATAAAAAAATGATATCCACATACATGAACTGAGAGAAAAATATCTTTTTAAGAGCTGTGTTTCCAATAAAATTTTAATTTCTATAAAAATCTGAATATGTATTATGTTGTTTTGAACAACTGTACTAATAAGTATAACCCTTAAAGCCTTAGTAAGGTCACAATTAATTTTAAAATTTCAACGTGTGTATGTATTTACATTGCAAATAGATATAAGGTTATCAATAGATCTTAAAGCATGGAAATAAATTACATGTAGCATAAACTATGAGGTGAATACAATGGAATTATGAGAAGAGAAAAGGAAGGATGTTAAAGAAGAGCTTGTTCTCATGTTTTTAAAATGAATGATGTTGGCTCTCAAATCATTATGCTCTTAGGTCAAAATGGATCAATATGAATGAAACAATTTATAAAGTGCCAATATTTACAGCACATTGGAAATTAGATCCTTTGCAACTATTTAAACTTATAATGAAATACTTCAGATGTCAACTTAAAAATGTGTAAGGGGGAAATATATTTTCAAAATTCTCTTAGGGAATCCTAAATTTGCAGTCTATTTGCAACAATGGGAATGGAAGTAAAGGGTATTATGCTCAGTGAAATAAGCCAGGTGGAGAAAGACAAATAACATATGATTTCACTTATTTGTGGAATATAAATACAAAGCAAAACAGAATGAACAAAATGGCAGTAGACTCACAGACACTGAGAACTGACTAGTGGTTACCATGAAGAGGGCAAGGGGGATAAAGGTGCACAAAAATTCTCAATCATAATATAAGTTGGCCACGGGGATAGTAGTACAGCATGGAGAATATAGTCAGTGATTCTGTAACATCTTTCTATGTTGATAGATAGTAACTGCACTAGTGGGGGGTGAGGATTTAATAATACAGGTACCTGTTAAACCGCTGTGTTGTATACTTGAAACCAATATAAGATTGCATATCAATGACACTTCAATAAAAAAAATTCTTTTAGGGAATACTGGAAAAGGACTGAGGATCAGAGACCAGGTACTTTTTGGACCATAGCCTGTTTCGGTGGACTGGTTAACTGCACATGTTCTCAAGCCAGCTGTCTGGGTTGAAATTATGTCTTTTTCCTGTATTGTTGGACAAGATGTTTTTTTAAAAAATCAAAAGTATAATTTACACTTAGAAGTGTACATACTTTCACATTTTCCACAGATAACCAGTTATACATAACCACATATAACCTAGATCATGAAATATGAAAAGTACCAGCACCCCAGAAATGCCCCTCATGCTTGGGCATGTTTCTTAGTCTCTCTCTGCTTCTGACCCCACATTCTCAAATGGGGATAATACTGACCCCATATGGTTGTTGTGAGGAATACATGAACTAATATCTACAGAGTAATCAGCAGATGCCCGGCCCAGGGAATGCTATGGAAGTGTTGGCTGTTGTCATGATTCCTGTTGGCCACCAAGTGAGCACCTACCGGTTTCCCTTCACCCAGCCTGGCTGAGAGCCCTATGTTCCAGGGGCTCCTGAGCCCAGCAGAGCCAACCTCAGGTCCCCAAAACACTCCTCATGAGGAGAACATGGAGAAGACCACAGCTATTGGAGTCACACCCAACTGATGACCTTCAGGTAAATTACACACCCAACCCAACATGAAATGTGCAGACTTTATTAGCTGTAAAACACTCCACTGCCTTTATGGTCCTTAAGGTCATCACAGAAACATCAGGGGTGGCATGAGTGGAGGAATGACAGAGCTTGGTGCTCTGATGTGCCCACTATAGAGGATGTTTTCAGCTCCAGCCAGTTCCCAGGCTCTCAGCAGGAGGTCTGAGCAACCTTGGGTGCTGGGCAGTGAGGCGGTGTATAGTTCTGAGGCGGGAGGTGATTGCACCCAGCCCACAGCAATGTTGTCACACAGAAGATCAGAAACGGCTCTTTTCACTGACCCCTCCTTCTGCTCTGTAAGTTACCACCACGCCTGAGGTTCACCCACCCTGTACCAGGCCTGCTGTCTAAACAGAGCCCTGGAGGTGGCTGGGGAAAGTTCTCAACCTCTCCACCTGTGCCATCTGGGTCACCTGGGTTGGCAGTTTGTAGCTACTCTAGAATTGTTTTCAGACGCCCATTCTGGCAGCTGTCTGCCTCCCCCAAATCCTTAACTCTCCCCTCAGCCACCTTCAATCCCCTCATGGTATCTTTTATTTTGGGCTTTGCTGGTTCTAACTCCCTGCAAATCCAGGATCCGAGCCATGTCTCTGGAACACCAGCTGCTTGGGGACTGAGCCAAGGTGTTCAGGGAGGGAAGGAAAGCGGGGACCACAGAAAAGTCCCTGTACCTCCAAGGGATGCAGAGAGGAGCTCAGGGGTGACAGGAGCCCCTCAGGCTGCTCCACTTCTGAAGATAATCTCAGAGTTTTAGCCATTGCCTTGACCAGGTGAGGTGACCCGGAGGAGGAGTTCCTAGGCTTTGGCCTACATTCATCCAAGTCACCACAGCTTGCGGTCTGAGGGGGCGAGAAAGAGGGAGGCACACAGTGAGGGGAACCCTGCACCCAGGCCACCCTGACTTTGGGGATGGGAACTGACAAGCGCCCTATTGCCCTTGCCCCAGCTGTGGGGTCTGTGGTCACAATCTGGGCTTTGCCACCACCTGTCCAGGCTGCCTGTCACGACTCAGACTGTAAAAGAGGGCAGCAGAGACCACAGCTGTTCTCAGGCCACAGAGGCCCCGAGCCTGATTCCACACTGAGACCAAGTTGGGGGTGGAGGAAGAGATACAGCTGCCTCCAGGAAGGCCCCCAGCCCGGGAATCCCCTCACCTGCTCACCTGTGCAGGAGGCAGACTGCCCTGGGGCAGCCTAGTTCCTGGACTCTGAGTTGTTGAGGCTGCAGGAAACAAGGCCAGGTCACTGGAAGCAGGGGCTTCCAGAATGTAGCCAGTGTGACCCTGAGGCAGGGGCTGCTGAAGGAGCTGCAGGATACGGCTGAGGTCTGAGGACATGCGGGACTCCAGCCTGACAGACAGAACCCCACAAAGTCAGGGTCAGAGTCAGGGTTGGTGAGAACAGCTCAGGTCCTGGGACCAGCTCTCAATTCTGTAGCCTGAATGCTCTCCCTGCTGAATAGCCCAGCCAGACCTGCCTGTAGCTATATCCCCACTACAGTCTGCAAACCTTGCCCAAATTCCCCTCACATTCCTGACTCATGTAATAACAGTGACCAGGCACTCCTGTACACATCTAATCCTCATAAGGAGGCTTTGATATGGATCATCTGATTATCCCCATTTCATGAAAGGACAAACTGAGGCTCAGAGTAGTTAGGTACCTTGCCCACACTCCTGCTGGTAAATTGCAGTCAGAATTTGAACCCTGAAGCCCTCAATCTGCCACCACACTCTGCCATCCACAGGCTACACCCTGTTTCCAAAGGCTCATGGAATTTTTGTCCAGAGGAGATCACGCCCCTCCCCCAAGAAGGCCTGCTTGACATGCCTGGGTTTGCTGGGACAAGCCATCCAAGGAAGCATGCTTAGTAGTAGCGATGGGGAGGGGGTTGCAGCTAACAGAGGCTCACCACTCTAAAACCCACAGGGCACCCAGCGATGTAGCTAAGCCACCAGGTGGGGGCACTCATCCCTAGCCCTCCACTGGGCCTGCCCTCTGCAGCCACCCCATCCCTGGCTCAAAGGGCACTCACCTGTTCATTTGAGCCTGGAGCTGCTCTAGCCTGGAGCCTAGCTCCTGAGGCCAGTAGTCGGGGTCTCCCTGAGGGTTTGGGGGGCTCTGCCTTGGCCTTGGGGGCACTTGCTGCAGCAACTCAGGCCAGAGGCCAGATGCATCTGAGATGCTCTGGGAAGGGGCAGCAGCTGCAGGAGGGAAAGGGAAGCCTGAGCTTCGGTCTAGCTGACCCCACAGGCCTGACCTTCTCGTGCAGAGCCAATGCCCCTCCCCTGCCTGCCAAGGGAACACAGGGTGGGCAAAGTGGAACTCCTTACCTGGGTGCCCTGGAGTACAAAGTCCTGCCCCCATGGAGATCTGGCTGCCAGGACCCAGAAGGGTGTAGCCCTGGGAAAGGGGCTGGGGCCCTAGCTTGGGGGTTCTGGGTAGGAGGGCCCAGAGCTAGCCTTGCTGTCCAGGAAGCTGCAGCCCAGCAGGTCCCCTGCTACCTTGATGCGGAGCCCCAGGAGGCTGGCTAATATCCACCCCTGGGGCAGCCCTCCCTCAGACTGAGGACCCAGTGGGAGGAAGGGGGCAGGGGCCTCTAGCACTGAGCTTAAGGAGGGAGCCCCTGTCCACTCACTGAGGGGAGGCCGGATGGGAAGGACCTGAGAAGGGGCAGGAGGCTGGGCAGGAGCTTCCGGCTGAGGTGGGCAGACGCTGCTGAGGGTTGGCTTTGCTCACCTGACTGGTTGTCACTGAGGAAGAAGCCCTGGTGGTCCTGGCTGCCTGGATCCTGCTGGGGAGCTGCCTGGAGACCCACACCTGCCTTGTGGGGAACAAGAGCATCAGGTCAAAGCGACCAAAGCTGGGACGGGGCCTTTTTGTTCTCCCCTGCCCTGTGACCCCCATGGCCCTTGTGACAACTAGTTGAGAAAATGGTGACAGGTGCCTGGGCTCCGTAGTGATGCTCCAAGTGGCTTCCTGCGGGTTCTCTCCTGCATGAGTGGGCAGAGAGGAACAGGGGCTTGGATTCACACAGACCCCCACAAAGGCCGCCTTGAGCAGCAAGGTCTGGGGGCAGGAGGCAGAGGAGCTGTTCCCCTGGTCCTCCCTCCCCTGAATGCTCTGGGGCTCCCACCTCAGCATGGGCTAATGGGGGAGACTGCTCCAAGGAGCCTGGGTCTGGAACCCCCAATCCATTCAGGAGATGAACTCAGCAGTGCCTTGGCAGCCCTCCCTCTTGGCACCAGGACACTTTGAGGCACCCAGGGGTGGCAGGTGCCCCAGGCTACGGGGACCACAGCCCTCCTGCCCTGGTGTCACCGAGTACTTGGGCCACCTAGGCTCCTTGTGGCTGGGCTCCCCAAGGCAGGGTCCTTACAAAATGTCTCCTAGACAGATCAGGTGGGAAGGGGAGAGCATGGGGAGGGAGGAGAACAGCAGAGGGGACAGGGTGGGGGGGGCTGTCCACAACAAGAGAGCCTGCCTCAGCACCAACCCCCAGAAGCTGGGCATGGGCCTAGGCCGGCAGAGCCCCTCCTCCTGAGGCTGGGGGTGGGGGGCTCAGTGTCGGTCTCAGCCACCATTTGCTTCCACCATGTGCCCCTGCCCCTCCCTCCCACTGGCCGATTCCAGCCCCCCTCCCCCACTCAGCCCCTCTGGACACTTCCAGTCTGTACTGGCTGTCTTGCTCCTTGGCAACCCTGGGCTCTACAGAAATCTGTTCTCCCCACACACCCTCGTGACTTCCTTGGTTATTTAACTATATGGCTCTTTATTTTTCCTGGTTGTTGTAATCTCCTCCACTGAGTGATAAGCTCGAGAGGACAGGCCACTCTATCACTTGTTTACACCCCTGGGACCTGGCACTGTGAGCCCCTGGGCAGCAGACACCCTCCCTTTCAGCTTGATACCACGTGGAAGAAAAAGCCTAGACTCTATGGCGTCGTACAAACTTGAGTCCACGTTTTGGCTCTGCCACTGGCTATATGACTTACTAATGGCAGTATGGCTTTGGTTATTTATCCTCTCTGACCCTCAGTTTCTTTATCTGGAAAATGGGGGTAAATAACACCATTTGCAAGAAGGCAAAATGAGATCATATAAAAGTGCTCAACAATTGATAGCTATCATCATACTTAGCATTATGTTGGCCATAGTAGGCACAGAAGATATGACAAAAGTTGCAGGATGGGATTGAAAGGGAGAGGGTCAGATGGGCCCCCTCAGGCCAGGCAGGCCAAACTCTCAGCCCAGTAGCAGCTGGCCAAGGGCCACCAACCACCCCAGCCCAGCCAGCCCCAACTCACATCCCGCAGGTTGAAGGTGACTTCCAGCTTACTCCAGAAGCTGTCTGCAAAAGCGGGGTACATGTCCAGCACCTCCAGCAGGTCTGCCCGCTGGATCTTGTGCAGGTCACAGTAGGTCAGGGCCCGCACATCCACATTCGACTTGCCAGGCTGGGCATGGAGGCTAACGGGCTCCCCAAAGATGTCATTCTTTCCTGCCAGCCAGAGGAGTGGGGATCTCTCTAAGGCCTGGTTCCAAGCTCTCCTCTGAGTGCCTCCCTGGGGGCCCCTTGACTCTGACTTCTCTCCCATCTCAGGGATCCCACCAGACTGGATCCTCAGGCTCAGGATCAAGCTCTGGGGACAAAGCTGGATGTGCTGCTGGCTTGGGGTGGGGAGGGTTGAGTGGGAAACCTGCCCTCCCCTTGTCCTCTGAGCTCTGCAGAGACCCCTCCGTCACCCCAAGGACGTGGGTCCTCCTGCTGTCTTCAGGCCCCAGAATCACCACTCCCATTTGCACCATTCCTGGACACTGCTCCTACTCCCCACCAGGGGACAGTGGGCAGTAAGACACTAAGGGCCCCTGCTCAACCTCTTCCTCTCTCCTCAGCCCGCTGCAGTCAGTACGAGTGCAGGGACCCCAGGGCTAGGAGTACCTAGCTTCCCCAAGGCAGGGCCGAGGCTTATGTCTCCTTGTGTTCCCACTCCCCGTTGCAGGCCAGGTAACCAGCACGGCCCTCGCAGAGGAAGCCTGGGGAGGTCACTTCCCCTCTCTGGGCCTGAGTCCTCATCTCTAAAATGGCTGTACCCATGCCTGCCTTGCCTACCCCGCTGGCTGTCCAGAGGAACTGATGGGATACTTGAGCAAGTGCCTCAAATAGCAAGAGGCACCAGAGAGGTTGACACAAGGCACTGGGAGGGACAGGTGTCATAGGGTGGACATGGGATGGATCCTCAGGGCATGTGGTGAGGGTTTGGGGCTCTTGTGGTGCCAGGCTCTGTGTGGGCCACAGGGTGTAAACCTCCACCCACAAAGAGCCTCCCGAAGTCCCCACAAGACAGGCATATAATCTAACTGTTTACAGATGACCTACAGAGCATTACAACAGAGGGGAGCCAAGGGCTGGGGGAGCCATGGCGGCAGGAGGGGCTCATCTCCCCAGAAGTGGCCGAGGGCAGGGAGGAGGGGGCCTACAGATGAGTGAAGTAGGGGCTGGGTTGTAAGAATGGAGTAGGATGTGGCCAGTGCTGCAGTCAGGGCTTTGAGGACCAGGATTGCTTTGAGGTCCACTCCACATGGGAAAGTCAGCCCCCCAAGCTGGGCGATATGGCACCAGGGGCACTAATGTTTTACACAGTGATGGGTAGAGGCCAGGACACATCTCCACAGGATCAAAGGCCATTCACAGAGGAGGTGCATAGGGCCTGGCGAGGGAAGGGACTTGCCAGGGTCATATCCAGGGTCACACCCAGAAGATAGAAATCTGGGCAACATTATGAAGTGATGGCTTTCTAGTAGATGAAGGATTATGATCTAATGTGCATTTCCACTCAGGACAAAATGAGAGGATTTCAATGTCTCTAACTGAAACTTAAATTAGACTGGCTTCTTAATTATTAATAATAATGATTATCCTTTCCACAAGGATGGCACTTCTAAGTTAGGCTGGGAGTGTGATGAAGTCTCATAGAGGAGCCTGTGCTTGAGCTCAGCCTTGAAGGGTGACCAGGGTCTGTCAGGCAGGGGTGCAAGGTAGGTGCTCTGAGCAGAGTGGCAGCATGTGCAAAGAAAGGCACACAGGTATGATAAGACGGGCAGGTTTGGAGAACAGTAAGTAGTTTGTGTGGCTGGAGCATGAAGTGCCAGGGGAGGATGGCTGGACTTGGAATAGCTGGATTGGGAAGGACTGTACATGCCATACACAGGGTTTACATTTGTCCTGTGGGTGATAGGGAACCATGCAAGACTCTTGAGCAGAAGAGGAGTATGCACAGTTGTGACTTTAGGTCCCAGGCAGAGGTATGAGGAAGACAGAGTATGGGGGCAGATCAGATGCAGGGACATGGCAAAGGAGCTCCTGACACCAGCCCAGGAAGGACAGGATAACAGCTGGGTTCAGGCAGGGTCAAGGAGACAGGTGTGGGACAGAAAGGTTTTAAGGAGGGGGATAGACAGGGCTCTGTGGCTGCCTGGATGGGGGGCCTAGGGCGGGAAAGGAGAAGGCTGCTCCCCTGGTTGACTCCCAGGTCTCTGGTTGAGGCAATGGATGGTTCAGCGATGGGGATTCTGAAGGAGCTGCTTTTCAGGGAAGATGATTTCAGATTGAGAAAAGTTTTTTGGTAGGCCTGTGGAATATAAAGGTGGCCACACCCGGGAAGAAATGGAATATTCTGGTTTAAGGAGAGCTCTGGGGGGTTCTTTTGGCATAGGTGAGGCTGAGATCATGGGATTGCGGAGCTGGCCCAGGTGAGGGGGCAGCGTAAGGACAGCAGAGCACACACTTGGTGAACACTGGTTGAGGGCAGGCTGGAGGGAGAGGACTGTGCAGAGAAGCCTGAGAGGGCCTGTCCAGTGGCTTGGAGGAGAGCCCAGCCAAGGAGACCAATGGATGGCGAGGCTGGCATCCTGATCAGGGACTTGGGGTGGGCTGAATTCAGGGAGAAAGCAAGGATGGTGAGAATTGCCTCAGAGAGGTGATGTGACCCGCCCAATGTCACATGGCTGGTAAGCAGCAGAAGCTGGGTGTGCCCCAAATCAGACCCCAGCACAGTACTCATATCCTTCCTCCAAAGTGCCCAGCTGTCCTTACAGCTGCGTGGAATGAGACTGGGGACTCCCCCCAAGACAAACCCTCACCCTGAGCTCCCCAAGAGTGGAAGAAGGTAGGAGGCTGTCTGGACCTCTGAGTCATGTCTGGCCACTTTCCACATGCCCTCTCTGACCTCAATTTCCCTAACGGGAAAATGGGTCCTGTGGCAGAGGTTTGTTTTAAGGATTCAGTGAGCTGGATATAAAGCTCTCCCAGGCACGTGGCGGGTCAGTAAGAGAAGATGCCACCATCATCAGGAATGCAGTGGTCCAGGCAGCACATCTCTGCTCCCACCACACCACCTACTCCTGCCTGGCCCTCCCCAACCAACCCACCTAGGATGGCCACCACCACGTCGTCGCGCAGGATCTCGATGGAGCCACGGGAGATGAAGTAGAGCGTGGAGAGCACGTCGCCAAGGTGCACCAGTGTGTCCCCGGGCGGGGCGTGCGTGGTTTTGAACTTGACAGCAAGCGCGCGCAGGCAGCCCTTGCTGGCGCCATGGAAGGCAGGGCAGTGCTGCAGCAGCGAACGGTGCAGGTGCAGGCAGATGTCGGCCTGCAGGCACTCGGGGAAGCCCTTCAGCACCTGTGTGTGAGGCGGCGGCCGCGTCCGGAGGGGCGCGGTGTGGGGAGCGAGTGGAGAAGGCTCTGGTGGCGCCCTGTGTGGCGACCTGGGCCTCCCCCGGAGCGTTTGCCAGAGCTGGAACTTGTGCTGGGCCGCCCGTCCCACCCCGGGCAGGGCGGCAGGGACTCACCGCGTTCATGTCGATGCCATTGGTATAGGACCAGGCGTGCTGGAAGTACTCTTCGAGGCGCTGCCGCAGCGGGTTGGGGATCTGGTGGAAGCGGATGAACTCCTTGACACGCAGCATCTGGGTGTGGTAGCGCGCGGTGCCTGAGTACAGGCGCTGGATGATGGCGGACACGTTGCCAAAGATGCTGGCGTACATGAGGGCTGGGGTGGGGGGCGGGGGTCCAGGGAGTGAGCGCCTCTGTATCCCCACCAGGCCACACCACCCCAGGGCCCCCTCCAGGCCTCCCTCTCCCTGGGAGCCCCCATGGTCTGGGACCCTCTGTCCAGGCCAAAGTCAGGAGGGCCCAGAAGGGGGCAGGGCAAGTGGGGAAAAGGCCCCGGGCTTCCTGTGCCCCTCGTCTGCCTATGCCTCTCAGCATCGTCCTGTGCCCAGCAGCCAAACTCCTGAGAACTAGGGCAATGGACTTTTTTAGTTCAGATTTGTTTTCTCCTTTAAGTTGTAAAAATAAAGGGAAAACTCTTGGTCTCTTGTTTTCACCCATTTTTTCCCTTGTTTTTGTTTTTCTGGGCTTTCACATCTCTAAATACTCTGAACATGACAACTTCATCTGCGTGTAAAGTTTCACACTGCCTCTTGTGTTCCTAGACCCGGTTTCTTGAGGAGCAGGCAGCACAGTGCAGGGCCTGAGAGCACACTCAGCCCTGGGAACTGGCCCTTCTGGGATGGAACTGGGTTTCTCTACAGACCCTGGCAAGTTTCTTGGTTTGTACAACAAGACCTCTGGTTTCTTGGTCAAAACAGGGCTAATAATACGGCCTTCACTAATAACATAGCTGGTCCTGGTGCCTAGCACATCACAAGGGCTGTAAGGTGGCAAACTCTGTGTATAGTTGGTGTATGCATGCAAAATTTGTGCATCATGCTTACAATCTGCCTATCATGCACATTGTTATTATTATGTTATATCTCACCACAAAACTGAAAATCAAATTCCATGGGTAAGGCCTGGGGCATAAGGTGGCACTCACAGCCAATGAGCATGATGCAGATAGAGAAGACCTTCTCAGAGTTGGTGTTGGGTGAGACGTTGCCGAAGCCCACGCTGGTGAGGCTGCTGAAGGTGAAGTAGAGCGCGGTGACATACTTGTCCTGCACTGAAGGGCCTGAGGCTGGGTCGCTGCCATTGTAGTGCTTGCCAAGCTGCACACCCAAGCTATCCAGCCAGCCGATCTTGGGCTCCAGGTAGGGCCTCTCCACATTGCCGATGGCGTACCAGATGCAGGCCAGCCAGTGCGCGATGAGTGCAAAGGTGCACATCAGCAGGAAGAGCACGGCCGCTCCGTACTCGGAGTAGCGGTCCAGCTTCCGGGCCACGCGCACCAGCCGCAGCAGCCTGGCAGTCTTCAGCAGCCCGATCAGGGTTGTGGTCTGCAAGGGCAGGGAGGGGGCGTTAGCCGGAGCTTGGACTTGTGCTGGGCCGCCCGTCTCACCCCGGGCAGGGCGGCAGGGACTCACCGCGTTCTGCAAGGGCAGGGAGGGGGCCATGGGACCGGGGGTCAGCCCTTGAACAGCTGCACTGAGGACTGCATTCTTCCACTCAAGCCTAGGGTCACACAGTCATTCAACCAACACTTGTGGAGCACCTACTCTGGGCCAGGCTCTTGGCAGAGGCACAGTGTGTGACCTTAAGGAGCTCTCAGCTTAAAGCTCAAAACTGTTAATTGTTAGGACAGAAGTTCAGGGGAGCACAGAGGAAGGGGAAGTCAAGTCTTCAGGCAGGACATGGGAGGCTTCATAGAGGAGGTGATGCATGAGCCAAGTCCTGAGAGACAAAGCTGAGGCTCCAGGCAAACAGAAGGGAGAGGAAAAGGATATTCCAGGTACAGGGAGCAGCATGAGCAAAGGCATGGGGGTGTGAAATGGCAACGAAACATGGTGCTGCAGCCTGGAGCAGAGTGAGGAATTGGCCTGGAAGGTGGTCAGGGACGGCTCCAGAGGCCTGGGGGTCCACAAAGAGCATGGATTTTATTCTAACCCACTGTGGGGCCACTGAAGGTTCTGAGGAGAGGGTCAGATATGTGATCTGAAACTCACTCTGGCTTCTGTGTGGAGCAGGGGAGTGTGGCAGGTGTGGGGCTGGAGCAGAGGTGGATAAAAACACTCAGGGTCCAGGCAGGGGCAGTGGGGATGGAGGGGAGGGGAGAGGATTTGGGGGGTAGATCTGCTTGCATGGGAGCAGGAGGTCACGACGGCAACCCCTAGTGGACAGGCCAGCTGGGGGGTGACTGGAGCACAAAAGGCATAGCTGCTCTGAGTGGACAGCTGATCCCGAGGAGGTGCAGCAAAAGCCCTTCTAGTGGGACTAGAAGCTGTGAGAGCTTGGAAGTGCCCTCGTGTCAGAGATGGGAAGCAGGGTGGAGGGGCTGGAGGGTGGGAAGGGGGCCAGGCAGCCTTGCAGGAGCAGCCTGGGGATTCCCTTTCTAACCCCAGGGTAAGTGTGGTTTAGAAGTCAGCCTGAGGGGCTGGTACTACAGGAATGCCCATCCCAGAAGGAGCTGAGTTGTTGAGCACAAATAATTCCCAGGCCTAGGGCACAGCCTTGGCTGGTCCTTATCCAGGGCTGGGAGATGGCAGATGCCTGAGGCCCCCTTTTCACCTCCACTTGCTTTGGCAAAGATGCCCAGTGCCAGGCACTCTCTGCACCCAGGGCTGTGTGGCTGGGAGGCCTCAGGGCTGGGACGCAGGGGTTGGCCTGAACAGGGCTTGCTCACCTCATCAGAGCCGGTACGGAAGATGAGCAGGTCAAAGGGGATGGCAGCCACCATGTCTATTAGGAACCAGCCCTTGAAGTAGTGGACGGCGATGTGGCGGGGATGGCTGACCACCTCATCGTTGGTGTCGACATAGGTGGTGCGGAAGTTGATGACAATGTCCACAATAAACATGATGTCCACGATGAGGTCCACGACGGTGAGCGGGTTGCAGGTGTAGCTGCAGTCCCCGTGCCGGGACTCGTCCTGGTCACTGAGCAAGAAGGCAGCCGAGTAGGGTGTGAAGACAGCCGTATAGATGACCAGCAGCAGGATGAGCCAGTCCCACACGGCCTTGAAGGGGCTGTAGTGCAGGAGGGTCCCACGGTGGATGTGCGGGGCCTGTAGTTTATACTCTGGAAGCACGTCCGCGCTCAGGGACAGGACCTACAGGTGGGGGCCACGGGGTGGTCAATGGGGCAGCCACTGCTGGGGAGACAGATGGGATGGCTTAAGGCATAGGGCTGAGGCCTAGGAGGGGAGCATGGGAGAGGGTGGGTGACAAGGGCTGTGGAGGGCAGGGCAATGAGCAAAGGTGGGGTGGGCATGTATGAGGAGGCAGATTCATAGGGGCAGGTGTGTTGGAAGGAAGTGAAGGGTGGGTGCACACAGGACAAGGAAGGCGGCTCTGGCCCACAACAACCTCAAGTTTGAAGCTCACAAACTCCCTCAGAAACAGGCCGCCCTGGGGTGGGTGAGACAGGGCTGGGGGAGGGGACCCAGAGAGGGCCCAGCTCAGGGTCATCTGTGGGCATGTTCCAGAGAGGAGCTCAGACTGAGAGGGTGGCTGGGAGGTCAATCCTCTCCTGTGGGTTTGTAGGGTTCCCAGAAGTCCAGGGTTCTGAGGGGAAGAAGTCATCCCCAGAATAGCTTCTTAATTCCTAAAGGATCTGATAATGTTATCTGTCTGTTTCGGGGCAAGTTTTATAACCTCTGTGATTCCTAGTTCTCTCATCAGTAGAATTGGGTAACAAAGGATAACCAACTCCCTGGGGCTGTGATGATTAAAAGATGGCGCATCTTGATGGTGCCTGCTGCACTACATGAGAATTCCTCTGCCCTGTTCATCCTATGGCAGACATTGCCCCAACAAGGGCAGAGCCCAAGGGGTACCACACCGACCCCACCACCCCCGGATAGGGCCCAGTACATGGCCCTGGGTTAAGAAAATCTGCAGTGTAAGGTTCTGACCTTGCAAACCAAATCCATTAACAGATGGGGTCGCAATAAGGAAGATCCACCAAAGGGCTGGTTTCAACCAGAGGGCCCCTGATCTGCCATCCAAACCCTAGGAGGGGCATGGTGCCCCTACCCTGCAGTGACCTTTTGCTCAGCCTTCTTTTTCTGGCCTCCACTCCTATTCTGCCTCCTGAGGAAGCCTCCTCTGACTGTGCAAAACTTGGGCCCTCTTTTTCGATTTACCCCATCCCTTTTAAACATCCCTGACCACGTGGTTATTCTCCACTGAACTGCAGGCCACTTTATATGCCCAGCATTGGGCCGCATGGGAGCTCAACTAACAGGGGCCGAAGGAGCTCCAAAGGCTGGGCCATCACAGCCACCCCCACCTTTCTGAGCTGCTCAAGACCAGCGGAAGATGAAATAGCAAAGCTTGGGGAGTGGGATGGAGGATGCAGGAACTGGGGGCAGGGGGGCGAAAGGAGAGTGTGCCATCTCCCCCATCACAGAGACCCCCATTCTCCCCCACCTCTGGAGCCAGCATGAGGGCCCTTCTCCGGTAAAGCCAGTCCTTCCCAGTGTCACCAGAGATGCAAGGCCCCCCGGATGTGGGAACTCAGATGTGGGGTCACAGCCCTCCAGGCCCTGGTGGAGGCCCGGGTGACCTCCCTGCTCTGGGCTGGCTCCTTCTCCTGAGCTCTCTGTCAGGCCCCTAGCCCACCTTCAGGCCCACACGGGATGGGTTAGGGGGGTTAAGGGGGGCTGGGGTAGGGAGCAGGACAGGAGCAGGCAGGTGGGTGGGCGCAGGGACCCCGGGCCCAGCCAGGCCCAGCACTCTTCACGGGCAGCTCTCCAGTCCGGCAGCCCCAAGCACTGCTGCTGCTCACCCAAGCGCCCTGGGGTGAGCAGCTCGGTGGCGAGCAGGCCAGGCTGTCGGGCCACTGCACCTGGCCTCTGAGGGCTCGGCCCTGCCACCTGGGGTCCTTCTTTCCCCACGGTTCTTGTGCTCAGTGAGGGCTGTGTCACAGGGAGTCTCCACCCCATCTGCTCCAGCTCAGATGTTTCAGGTAAAAGCAGGCAGGGAGGAAAAAGAGCTGCTCTATCCCTCAGGAAAGCAAAGCCCCAGGGGAAGTGGGGAGCAGGCCCCCGCCCATGCTCTGCCTCTCCTTGCTTAGACCTGGCCTAGGTGCCCCGTGATGCCTTCTGGGGCTGGCAGTATTCAATGTCGAATGGGTCCTCAGAGATCATGCAGTCCAGCTCTCCCCTGCAGATGAGAGCCGGGGGCCCAGGAAGGGGATAAAGGCCCTTGCCTAAGGTCACAGAGTGAGTCAGTGGCAGGATGCTGGGCCCCTGAACCTCAGGTAGGGCTCTTTGCATTCTGTTCTGGAGTGGTCAGTGGGGGGCCTGGAGCATTAGGCTCTAAGGAGAAGGGACAGTGGGGCCAGATGAAACAGAGGACTCAGGGAAGTTTGCCTTGGGCTGGCCCAGGAGGGACAGAGTGGGAGGAAGGCATTTTGGGCCCAAGCCCTAGGAAGCTGCGCAAAGAGCTGAAGATGTTAGACTGCATACCCTCTGCCTGGATTGAAGGCGGACTCTGTGGTGTGTGGGTGGGGTGGCTGTTACCCCAAAGGCAAGGAGCAGGAGCAGAGCTGGGGTAGGACTTTGGGTCTGAAGTATCACACTTGATACACAGACACTAGAGGGCTAGACAAACTAGCTCCCTATGCTAGCACAGGCCCTGGAAGGGCCCAGGCGCAGGGCCTAAGATGGGGCCTGTGAGGCCTGGCACATCCCTGTCTGCCCTGCCCTGCAGCCCGCACCTGGGTGACCTTCTCGGTGACGTTCTGGGTCCGCTCCACCACTTTGTGGGGTGCGATGATCTCAATCTCTGTGGTGGAACCCGAGTGGTGCTTCTCCAGGTTAAACTCCACGAAGTTGAGTGTGAACTGCGGGATCTGGCTGATGGTCCTGTATTTGACCCTGCCCGTGCCAGGCCCCTGTGCACTCGGCCTGCTGTGAGAGCCCTCTGAAACCAGAGCCCAGGTCAGAGAAGCCTGGGCCAGGGGACCAGCTGCTCCACCTGGGGCTCCCGCTCACCCTCCCACTGCCACCTGCACCCCACCTCACCAGAGCCCAGGAAGCTCTGGGACAGCAGGCACTGGGACAGGCTGCGGCTCCCGCTCTTGGCCAGGAGCTGGGCGAGGTCTTCAAAGTTGAGGATGAACATGATGACAGCCCCTTCCTCATTCTTCACAGGGACCACATCCACCAGGCAGCGGAAGCTGGAGGCTGCAAACATCATTGGCAGGGGGGGGGTCACAGAATGGGTTTTTTACTGCAGTAACCTGGCCAAGGGAAGCTAGAGAAGGGGCTGGGCTAAGATCAAATTAAGGGCAGCCATGGGGTGAGGAGGCCTGGACAGCGACTAGAACTACTGGGCAGAGGTGGGTGATACTGTCCAGCAGGTGCCCCACCCACAGGGCCGAGAGGAGGGGAGAGCAGCTAAGCTGCTCATTAGGAGATAATGTTGCATCAGGCCCAAGTCCACACTTGGCCCTCAGCTCAGGGTTTAACCTTGAGGTTTGCTTCTGTTATAATTAAAGCTGAGCAGATGGGGGTGGATTAAGTGGGGAGGTGAGGTTGGGCATTCTGCCCCCATGTAGCTCTGGCTGGCCCTGGGTTCAGCAACTCTATTCCCATCCCACAAAGTTACCCTGCTCCCCTGACACTGAAAGGGACTCAGTGAGCACTGAGCCAGCTGGCCCACTGGGTCTCCAGCTCTGTGGTGGCACCCAGTGGGGCTTCAGGGGGCAGACATAGACCCCTGTCCTGCAGGTCCTGGGCTTGAGAATCCGACTTGCCGGGGCTGGAAGGGGACTTGGAGTGGGGATCCTTGAGCTCTGAGCACACAACAGCTTAGAGAGGGGAAGGGACTTGTCTGGGATGGGGACATGGCAGAGAGGCCCAGGCTGCTGTTCCAGGCCTGGGGTTAGCTTGGGGTCCCAAGGAATAGGTGCTGGGATGGGAGCAGGGAGGGCAGTCGCCTGGGGTCTGGAGAGGGAGATGGCAGTGTGGGGGCCAGAGAGGCCCCTCCTGCTGCTCTCCCCACCCTTTCAGCAGCCCAGACCTCACTGCTGGTCCGCCTGTTCCTCGCGCTCCAGGACCAACCTCCCCTTACCCTGCCCTCCACCGCGCCTGCCCACAGGTGGGTGGACCAAGGCTAAAACTGGGGGCTAGGTGGGTGCTTTATAAGCCCCTCTCCATGATACGCATTGGTCCCATGCCCCTCAGCTCAAACTCCTGGTGGGTGTCAGGCCCAAAGTAGGATGCTAAGGGGCCGGGGCATGCTAAGATCAGAAGGCAGAGCTGTCCTCCCTGTGGGCAGGTTGGGTCTGTTCCACTTACCAGCAGCCAGCAACTGTCCATCATGTTGTGTGTTAATTGAGTGAATGAAGGAATGTGTGTGTAAATGAGTAGGTAGGAGGCTGACTAGCACTGGGTGTATTGCTACTTTGGGGTCCGCTGGAATCATACTTCCCCTAACTCCCCAGTGATGCTCACCTCCCTTGGTGCTTCATCACACCATCAAGTGTTGGGGTGCAGCTGAGCTCTCCCCATCCTCCCTCGGAACAGGAATCTGCTGGATCAGATTCCCAGACTCCCAGGCCAGGCAGTCATCTGCCAGCTGCTGTACTGGGCCCCAGGGGAGACATTCACACTGAGGAGAGGCCTCCCACCTACCTCTGTGACCATTACTGGGCTCCCAGTGCCTGTAGGCTCTGCCTCCCAGGCCAGAGCCTGGCACTTGTGTCAGCCCAGGGTGTTGCAAGGACCTGACCAGGAAGCTGCCTTCACCAGTGACCTGAGACACTGTGCCCAAGGTCAGACTATGTCCTCATTCTCTCCAGCACTGCAGAGGTTGAGCCTGGCAGGATGCAGGGAGAGGGCAAAGCTGGGTAGAGGGGCAAGGCCTCCAGGCTCTCTATGCTGCTGGAAGCTGCCAAGGCCCAGGCTTCAAGTGGTGGTATCCACCCACAGATGCTGTCTTTGGAAAGCTGGGCTGGGAACAGACTAAAGCCCATCATTGCCCTAAGGGCTGCAGCAGGGCTGTGCATGGCATCCTACGTCGGATCCTCATGCTTGTTGTCTGTGAGGTGGGCAGAGGCAGGGGGCTATAAGGATTTGCACAAGTTCAGAGCATTCTTCCCCCTAGCCTTAGGCTGTCCTCGCTTACAAGTAACTGTGTCTGGGTGATGAGAAGTGGGTGAGTCTATCACCCTAGGCTGTGCCCAGCAGAGGCTGTGCTCCTGTGCCCCAGCCCTGTCCCTGAATGTGAAGCCACAGCCTCTGCCTCGTTCTCCCTTCCCAGGGCCCACCTCCAAGACCAAGGGCAGCAGGCTCATCTGCCCTCTGGGACACTTCCTTTCTGCTCTTTCCTGCTTCTGGGATGTGCTCTTTCCTTCAGTTTTCCATCGTTCCCTCCCCTCCCACCTGCCCCGCCCCTCGCTCCTCTTCTGCAGCCTCCCTGCTGTCTATTGCTTCTATCTGTGTGCGCATACCCTATCCAGGATTGCAGTGGGCCCTCAGGGAGGAGGTGGTGTTACCAAAAGCTGCCACTAGGAAGGTGGCTGTCCCATGCCGCCTCCATGGTGTTTCTGGCATTCGTGGGTGAGTATGAGGAAAACACTGGGGCGTGATCTCGGCCCTTGACCTGGCCCGTGACTGGAGCAGCCCCAGCTTCTTTGGTCTGGCTTAGGGATTAGGGGATCCTCTGGTTTTGAGTCACCAGAGAAGAGGACCTGGCACAGGTAGGCAGGGCAGAGCCCCTCTGGCAGGCCCCCAGTGGAGGCAGGGGTAGGGTGAGGAAAAGCTGAGAGCTCTCCATCCCTCCCATCAGACTCTCATTGGCTCTAGTCTGGTGGCCATCCCCAATCCTCCTACCTGTCAGGTTCTTACATTTCCTAGTAAAGGCAGATGGAAGAGTCAGATTCTCAGGGGTCCCCTGAGTCTCAGGGGGTAATTTTGGCCAAGTGCCCTCTCCTCTTTGAGTTTGACTTGGCCCAGCTGCACAATGTGGAGATATATGGACACAGACTTTCCACCTTGACTTGGAGAACTGTCAGTGGATTACCCCTTTAAAGGAAAAGAGGATTATAAATCAGCTAGAGTTCTGTTCAGGACCCCTTCCTACCTCCCTGGAGTTGGGGAGAGGTGCGGACAGGACATTTGACCTCAACAGGGAAGATATCACCATTAGCAATTCCCTCAGTGGGAGTATAAGGTGTACATGGATATGATTTTAAAAAATTATGTCATCAGGGTGGACAATAAGGTGAACAAAAGTTATCTGAGTACCACATCCTTCTTGTAGGATAATACAGACCAGAAAGCTCCCTTCTCCAGGTTTCAGGCCAATTTTAGGCAGGTCCCAGTGGTCAAAGTCTTGTTCTATAGGACAAGGTAGGGCGTAGAGTGGGGATGGGGGCAGACTGGCCTTTACGGGCCCTCAGTATGTGGGTAATTTTCCATTCTCATTCAGAGCCAGCCTCCAAGACTAGGTCCCTGGCACCCCTTTTGATAGCTGGAGGGCCCCGGCAGCGTTCCGAAAACCTGGGTCCTGATGTCCGAGGGCCACGGTAGCTCTGACCTCTGCCCCCTACCAAAGCACATGCAGAGTTTTGAGGAGACCTTAACAGCCCTGATCTGACATCCTTAGGAGTCTGGGATTAGCCCTCACCCCTTTGGGACCCATGTAGAGCTCTGGGGCCAAGGATGGGGGGGGGACAGAGAAGGACCTTTCATCCCCCCTCATTTCCTGGTGTCCTATCCTGTTTTCCAGGACCCTTCTCACTCCCCTGACTGTCACCTCCTCCCTGCAATGATGTCAGGAGGTGAGGTCACAGCTGTTAAAAATATTCTGCCTTCATTAACCCTGTGAGTGCTGCCAAACTAATCTAGGTTCTTCCTAGTCCCCTAATCACTACCCCTGCATTCACTGGCATGGCAGCAGCAGTGGGCAGCAAGAAGGACGGCTGGACCTGCCCAAGAAGCACCCTGGCAGCCCTTAGACACACACATGCATGCATGCACACACATGCTATCATTCACACTTACACTCATGCTCCATGCACACACCAGGCCTCTGATCTCTGGCTCTTAGCACCTCCAGGCCCAGTCCAAAGATGCCTGCCCTTTATCTGCACTCAGATGATCCTCACGCCTGTATTTCCTGGGAAGGGCCCTCTTCTGGGGCTTCCTTCCCCAGAAGTTCCTCCTCTGAGCACAGAGGCAGTGGGGGGTCCTTTCTCTCCTCTTGGAATTACTCAGATCAGACAACTCTTCTGAGGGAAGAAACCAGAGAGTTGGGATCCAGTCCCAGGTTGGACCCCAGCCATAGGATCTTGGACAAGTCCCTCTTTTTCTTGGGCCTCAGTTTCCTCATTCATGAAATGAAGGGATTTATCTAAACCAATGGTTCTGCAACTTGGCAGAACATCTGAACCACCAGGGATACACCTGCTTGGGCCTCACTGCAGCAGTCTGAGTCAGCCACTCTCTAGGGAAGGTGTATTTTGGAAAACACACTCCAGGTAATTCTGATGTAGAACCAGATTGGGGGGCCATGATCCAGGTGACTTCAAGGAGACTTTCAGGATCCTAGGTTCCACCCATCTCCCCCAGCCCCACCACCTGAGGTCTGAGACTCTGAGGTCCAGGGATGGGGTCGGGGTCCTAAAGACCTGCAGAACTCTTTATCCTCAGCCTGTGCCCTATGCCTCTGTTTTGCTTGCAGTAAACTTGAGTCTCTAGGTCAAGACAAACTCCAGACCCTATCTCCTGGGGTAGGTGGAACTGGGTAAGCCAGGTCACCCCTCTTTCCAAGTCAGCAGCCTCCACAACTTGCCTGGCCACAGAGGCCTTGAAAGGGTGATTCCTCCACTAATCCCCGGAGCAGACGGAGATGAGGAAAGGTTAATTTCCATCCCAGCTGCCTGACAGCTGGAGCTGACAGTGACAGAGTGGGCAGCCAGGAGCCTGGAGACTTGGGGAGGGATAGTGGAGTGGGAGGCCCTGCCTGAGGCCAGGATCAGTTGGTGGCTTGGCCTGGTCCCTGGTCTCTGAAAAGGACCTCAGAAGTCATGCATCCAGTGCCTATTGCTTCCACTAATGTTAGAGAAAACTGAGGCCCACGCAGGAGACAGAATCTGTCCAGGCCCTTTGGTCCCTGGGTCAGTGCCCTCCCCATGGCCACTCTGGCTAGATGAGAGAGGGGCCAAACCTGCCCGGCAGAACCTGTGGCCTGAGGGAGCCTCACCATCCTTGCGGTAGTAGAGGATGTCCACCTTGCACTCCTCGGCCCCCAGCAGGGCCTGCGCCAGGCGGGACATGGCACTGCGTGGGGTGTTGGGGCCTGTGAGGAAGTCGCAGGTACATGGTCGCTGCATCACCTCCACTCGGGAGTAGCCGAAGAGTTCACAGAAGCCATCGTTGCAGTAAATGATGGCGCAGTTCTCCATCTGAGCATTGGCAATCAGGAACTTACGACCTGAGGTGGGAGGTGGAAGGTGGGAAGCCCATGGCAACCAGGATTGGGCAGCAGGGAGAGAAAGATCACAGGGGCTCTTGACAGCAGTGGGGGAGGGGGTCTAGGTGGAGGAGCAGAACAGTGACCAGAATGAGGAAGGGGGGAGGTCTGGGGAGGGTGGGAGACCAAGGAGGCCACAGTCATGGGGGAGTATGCAGGACTCCTGAGTGGTTAGGAGGGAGGGGAGGGCAGTGACCAGAGAAATGGGTGAGGGGTCAGGCCTTCGGACTGTGGGAAATAACGGGGTCGGTGAAGTGGGAGGGAGGCCCGAGGCTTCCTGGAAGCAGTGAAAGGGGTCAGGAAGTGAGGGCAGGGGTGTGACTATATGGGGGTCCGGTGTGGGGAGAGATCCTAGAAAGACCAGAGTGGTAGGGTCAGGAGGTGGAAAGGAGGGAGTCAAGGAAAGCCCTGGAGGAAGTGGGGTGTCAGAAGGGGTAGGTGGGTCAGTAATAGGAGAGCTAAGAAAAAACTCAGGGGAGAGGAAGGGGCTGCACTCTGCGCCGAGTGCTCCCGAAGGGAGGGCGGCACTTGAGGTAAGTGGGGCCCGCTGAAGCGGAAGGCGTTGGGGGTCTTCCAAGCCACAGATTTTTCATTCAGCATCCGGGACCGCCCACCCTTCAACATTCGAAGTTAGTAAAGGGGTCCGGCCACTCCTGCCGCCGAGCCAGGACTGCAGGTCGTCCCCTCACCCCAACGCACACACTCACTCTGGCCCTCGAACTTGCGGATGATGGTGTCCAGGTAAGTGTTCTGGGGCGCGACGTGGCCCCTGCGAACTGGCATCTTTCCGCCGCGGCCCTTGCCGGGAGGCAGCAGCACCCGGCTCTCCGCGCCCCAGCCTGCCCCCGGGCTCAGCTGCGTCCGGTTCCGGGTGGGCGCCGCCCCCGGGGAGGGCCGCGGGGCTCCGTGCCCCGCCCGCCCGCCAGCGTCTACTCTCCGCTGCCCTCCCCTGCCCTCCGCGGCCGGCCGCTGCCGCGCCTCCTCCCACTTGCACCGCCCCGGAGCTGTCCTCGCCGCGGTGCTGAAAGACGCCGCACGGCGGCAGCAGGCGGGGTCCCCGCGGCGGGAGCATCTCTCCCGGACCCGACGGGGCAGGGGCGGGGCCCGGACTCCTCGAGGGCGGGGCGGGGCGGGGCGGGAGTCCCGCGCCGGGATGGGGCTGGGCTTCTCTGAGGAGCTCCTGTCCCAGGGGCCTGAAGCCCCAGCCCCTCTCAGACCCTCTGGGTGGAGTCTCTCAGGCCGGGGCTGGGGAGCTGAGAGGTGGCAGCGGGATTGTTAGACGCTTCAGGTGGTCTTTTGCTGAAGGTTCCTTTCCGGGTCTTACCGCGGGGCCTGACCCTGCAGTAGGATGGTTAGACCTCGTGCCCTCCCCTGCCAGTGCTCTCCAGCTGAGCCCCATTTCCCGTGCAGAGCTCCTAGTGGCAAGCCCATCCAGAACCTGGTTCTGGTAGAATGGGGTAGGAGTACATTCGAAAGTGCACAAGAAATATACAATAAGGTGCTTTCTTCAGAGGCCTGAAAGCTCTTAGCATACCGAATTGCTTGAGAGAACAGATTTAAAACCACCTATTAGCAAATGACCACTGATAAAAGTGTCTGAGTACTGACTGAAAATGATTACATTAGAAGAAGCAGATGGGGATGGGGTGAGGTTTATTGAAATAGGCTTCTTGGAGAGGAGGGAAAGAAGAGTACCACTGTTCACTGAAGCATCTCGGTGGGCTTGGCGCTTTGCAGAGGGTCCAATGACCAGCTCTGAGCCAGGCCTTGGAGGGCAAGTGTTCAAATGCAGCATGTCCCATAGGCAAAGGCTGGTGGAATCAGTGCAAAGAGGCTGAGCGAGGGAGTGAGAGAGCTGAAGCTGGTGAAAAGGGGAACTGATAGAGACCCTCAGATGCCATTTTGAACATCGAGATTTCATTGATGACAACGAAGTTCTTAAGCAGTTAGACATGAAGGAAATATTCTGGTGAAAGAAACTTTACAGTGGCAGGTAGGGGATGGAGGATGAACAAGACGGCTCAGTAAGGTTTTTGCTGGTCCAGGTGAGAGGCTTGGAGTCCTGGGCTGGGTGTGCCTTTGCTACACAGAGCCACAAGCCTGATGGGGGCCTCGTTGTCCACTGTGGCTGGCAGATGGGAGGGCTACAACTGTGGCCTCCTGGGTGGGGGGAGCAAAGTTGTCCTGGCTGCCCCTGTACGGGGGGAGCAGGCTGGCTGTGGAGGAAAGGTGGGGCTATTTCTCATGGGCTCAGTGTGTGGGATGCTGAGCTCTGAGGAGGGACTTGAGCAGGGGACACATTCATTCATTTACTTACTTATTCAAACATTTTACAAGTTCCCATTACTTACCATAACCTGTGCTGGCACAGGGGCACACTCCTGAGGGGTGTTCTGCCCTTACAGAACTAACAGCAAGTCATGGGGACAAATTAGGACATTATAGCACAGAAGAAGCAGTGACAGAGAGATCAAACCAGGGTACTGTGGGGCCTGTGGCCCGAGTAAGAAATGCTTGAGCTCAGCCAGAGCTCAGAAAAGTCTCTTGAAACCTGAGCAGAGGTAGTGTCCATGGAGATCTCAGCCCAGTCCCTCTTGTCCCTGAACCCCTGGGCTCAGATCCTTCATCTAGAAAGAACTAGTCCCATCCTTTGGCCACCCTCCCACCAGCTCAGCTGCAGCCCTGGTGCCTCCTCTCTGTGGTTACTGGCTATGATGTCACTTCCCCTCAAAATTCCCCTAATTTCTGACAGGCACTGATTCTCAGCCTCCCCAGGAATCCCTGAGGCCTCAGTCCAAACTCAGTGAGTCTCCATGTATTGGGTGTGGAATCCCCATGGCAGGCAGACCAAGGCTGGAAAGAAGGGGCCCAGAGGAGTAGGAGCAGAGGCCTGCCCTCTTTCTTCCCAGGCTTGTCCCTAGATACTCATTTTCCAAATGTCCTCCTACAGTTTGCCCCTACCCAAGTGAGCCTGAAAAGGTGTTGTTTGCCCTATGCTTGATCCCCAGGGCAACAGGCCAGGCAGCAGGTGTGTGTGTTGAACAAGGCCATCTCTGGAGTGGAGTGGCTGGAGATGAGCCCTGTTTAAATATTAAAGAAGTCAATCATTAATCAAGCCTGGCTCAGAGCCCAGCTACCTCTGTCTTCATTTGGGAGGGCCTGGATTGGGGCAGAGAGGGCTGTGGGGCAGTTTGTGAGGCTGACAAGTACCTTTTTAGAAGTGGATTATGCAGCCCCACACAGAGCAGGCCAGAAGATCAGCAGAATAATGTGTGGGCTAATATACACAGCACAGGGCTCAGGAAATGTGCTGTGTGAAATGGGAACCAGTGGCTTGTACAGGAATGTCTGGGTCTACTTGAATACATTTTATAGGGGGACTGAGGCAGTGTCTTGTTTCTAACGAGAGCATACATTACTTGCGCACTGTAGCTCCAGCTCAGCCCCACCCCACAGTGGGTCTTGAAGAACAAAAGCTGTGTGAAGAATCAGCTCTGGGAATGAATTACAGTGAGGCTGGGTCACTAAAACTGTGGTTCCTGAACCCCTAGGGGAAGGAGGTTGGCCTGGAACCCAGGGCATACACAGAATCACATGGGGTCAGTTGCTTGTGTACATGACCTCACATACATGAGCTCTCAAACACACAATTGCAACCCCCCAGGTATCCAAATCTGCCACAGCTACACCCAATTGCAGCTGGACGCTATGCATGAAAGCTGTTTCCTCCCCAGCTCCCCATCCCTCTCTGGCTTGGCCATTCTCCTCCTGTCCCCAGCCTCACCAGGCACACTGGCTTCTAGTCCCACCATTCAGCTCTCATCCATGGAGGCTTCCTGTTGTGCTGTGTGAAAATCCAAATGGTCAGGCTGATTGAGCACAGCATCAGGATGAGGCAGATGCCCAGCAGGATCCACGGTCTTTTGGCAGCCTGGTGAGGCTCTATGGCCATGCCCAAGAAGTAGGTATTGGTTGGAGTCTTGAATGCACTGGTGTCCTGTGAACTGATGTCCTGTGCATTGGTGTCCTGGGCCAGTGACCTTTTCTACAAGGAGTGCAGCCTGCAGGCCAGCAGTAGGATCACCAGGAATATGACAAATCTCAGGGCCAGCAGCACCCATTGCCCAAATTTGGTCTTGTCAAGTTCCAGCTCCAGACCTAGGAATGTCATCTTATCTATGTTTTTTCTGTGGAAGACACATGAGTCTTATAGAGCAGGTAGAACTGGGGAGAAGGCCCTGGGGTGCCCTGTAGTGATCAGAGAGGATATGACTGCCACTGGCTTTCACTCTCAGCTTCAGGGACCCACCTTCCAAGACACAGGTGAGGGCATTGCTCTGGAAGGAAGGTGAGAAAGAGGGGTGGAAAGAAGAGGAGGAGGAGATGGGGACAGATAGCTCCTCTATACCCCATAGCACCCAGCAGTGGCTCTGTGCAAAGGTCAGAAGGCAAGATGCCCACCCTGTGCTCAGATGCCACCTGGCAGTCTAGATGAATGGTGCACAAGGATGTAACTGAACCAGTGGCTGGGGTGCAGGCTGTGGTCTTGACTGAGGCTGCATCAGATACAGACAGGGTTACGCAGCAGCAGTGTTGTGCTTGTTTAAGCCAGGTCATGGATGGGCCAGGGGTTAAGACTGCATTTGGGTGGGAGCTGACCCAGGGCAGCCTAGGGTAGGGTTTGGGGCTGGACCAGGGTCAGATTATCAAACCTTCAAAGGAAGAGCTGAAGTCTGGCCAGCCCAGGATCTCCCCCTGCTGCACATTCTCAGTCACCAGCCAGTTCCGTAGGGGCCTGAAGTAGGTCATAAAGGCTTTTGTGGACACCTCCGTCTGCCCAGTTATCTTCTCCAGGACCTCTGGCCAGGGCTTGCTTGAGCCCAGTTTAGGACATCCCTGGGAGAGTGGGTACAGCTGAGTGTTGCTGGGACCCTTCAGTAAGCCCCACCCTGACCTAGGGCTTTGTTGGCCGGACTTTGCCCACAGAGTTCCGCATAGTGGATAAAATCACAAATTTTGTAGTACGATCAACTTGGGTTTGAATTCTGCCACTCAGTAGCTGTGGGACATTAGGCAAGTAACTTAACCTTTCTGACCCTCTGTTTCCATATCCTTAAGATGGAGATAATAGCAGTACCTACCTCCTAGGGTTGTGATGATGACATAAACACAATGCTGGGAGGATATTATGCAGGCAGCAAATGTCAGCTACTAATTACTGTTTTATTACTGTTATTATTGCCACTACTGTGATGATTATTATTAGCCTGGACTTAAGTAGGCATAAAGTCTTGAGACACTATTTGCCATGAGGGGCTCAGTGTCAGTAAGGAGCGGCAGCTCTTCAGCCCTGTCTGTCTCACAGGGAGTGTTTGTAAAGATTAGAGAGATAATGAGCGTGGGATGTGCTCTGTGCACGGCCTGCAGCGCTGCACAAATGTCAGCTCTGTCTCAAAGCACACCCAGTGCTTGGTGGCAGGGGGTCGAGCCTTAGGCTTGGCCCACACACTTACAATTGGGGTACAGAGTGTGCTGAAGCCAGGGCTCTGGGCTCCTCCATCCCAGGGCTCCCTGCAGAGGCAGCAGTAGGCATATGTTGATCCTTTTCAATCTGTTTCCCCATCTGACCAGGAGAGGAGGGGCCTAGAGGCCTAGAAGTCAGAGTATGGAGTCTAGACTAACAGGACCAGGTTCACGTCCCAGCGGAGCAACTTATAGGCTGCATACCCTCAGGCAATCAACATGACCACTCTTAGCCTCAGTTTCCTCATCAATAAAATGGCCCCATACCTGCCTTTCATGTGGTGAGGATTAAGTCACATAAGGGTGGTGAAAGAGGACTTTGCAGCTTCCCAAGACTGATACACATAGCTTAATAAACAACTGGGAAAGAATGAGACAGGGAAACTGAAGGTCAGTGGATCTTTGTCAGAAATCAGTGGGAAAGAATGTAGTTAAGATCCTAGAGAAATGGAGGAGAAAAGCCATCAAGATGAAAAGGAAAAAAAATGCACGGCTAACTTTAGATAAGAGGATTTTATGATGCTAGGTCCTGGGAGACAGGAAGGATCTGACGCTGGGAAAAGTCTTGACCGCTGAGAACCTACCTATGTAGGAACAGCCCTTCATAGGGCAGGAGAAGAGGAGGTTGGACCAAAGCCCAGCTGATGGCCCACATGGGCAGAGCATGAGACTTACAAAGGTGACAAGTGGGCTCTTCCCAGAGCCCTCAACTCCAAGGTGGCAGCAGTGGGCCGCACGGACAAGGTCAGGTCCACCACGGCTGGGCGGGTGAGGCGGGAAACTTGGGGACTTGCACCAAGTCCGCTTTGACCTTCTGTTTTCAGCAGAACCAGCCCAGGGCAATTTGGTGCGTTTAGAATGATGAGTCAAAAGTAGCAAAATCAGGTTTTAAATGTATTAGGCAAAAAAGCAGCCAAGAATGTTGCCCTTCCCCTTCTCCCTGGCAAGCACTCCCTTCCTCTCCCCCTCCACAGCCCGTATTCCACTCTGCTGCCATCTCACCCCCTCAAAGCTCATGGCACACCCTTTCTCAGAGACCTCTCCGCTGCCCGGAAGCTGGTGTTTGCGGTCCTAGACCTGGAACTCAGGCTCTTCCCTTGCCAGGGGCTGGACAGCGATGCGTAAAGACTGGGGAGCAATGACCAGTGATGACTGGCAAGGGATGACATGCTTTGCTGCTAAGTCAGAGCCTGGGAGCCTTGTGTGCCCTGGTGGGGTGGGGGAGGGAAGCAATGAGGATGACTGAGGTCAAATGTCCCACCAATCAAGTGGGATGAAGGCTCAGTTAAAAGTGAGTTGAGGTATAGGAAACAGAGGTCTGCTATTTCTTGCATTCCTGCATTAGGGGTCAGAGGTCCCTGGACATGACCTCCTTACCCTCTTAGCCTGTTCACCAAAGCCCTTTCCTAGCGCACCTGCCAGGGTCTTTTATTGTGATTACAGATTTAGCCTGTGGTCTACTGCCCCCTGCTGGAAATAGAGCACAAGCAAATGTTTGCTGAATGAATAAATAATGGGCAGCCAGAGAAATGAATGCAGAAAGCAGAGGCCCTTATGCTCCACACACTCGGAAAAGTTCAAACCTGGGCAGTCATCTAGACTAAATCCATGTAGTATGAAAAGATGAAAAAGAAAATAGACTAGGGAGACAATAGGCATGCAAGCTACAGGCTTCTCTGGGAGCAAAGCTGGAGGGATCAGTCCTGCAGCCCCATGTGGCCTAGTGGTTATTGAAAAACTACATTGTGGAATCTCAAATATGCTCGTTAAATTTGCAAAGGATTCTAGATTATGTTTTGTTAACCCTCTAGGACACACAAATACAACTCAAGATGACTTTGATCAATTAGTGAAAAGGACCTATTGGAATCAATTGAAATTCAGTGGGGAAAAGCTCTCATCAGTGGACAGGCTCTGTGTCTCAGTGTTTGGATCACTGATCTTGGAACCAGTAGACCTAGATCTAACCTCACCAAACCTGTGATGGAAACAACAGGGTGAATGATAATGTGTCCTGGAGTCAGTGTGGGGCTCCAAGCATGACTTTGCAACTTGATATGTAATCCCATGACCTGTCTTGGCTTCTGTTTTATCATTTATGAAATGTGTATAATACCCACTTTGCAAAGTTATGAGCTACCAATGAGAAATTCCGTAAGAGGACCCATTAGAGAGCCCAGCCTGTGATAGTAAATGCTTCCTACCATCAGCTCAGCTTTCACTCCCTCCAGGTTTGCTTCAATACCAAAACTCAGCTCCACAGAAGCAGGAATGGAAAGGATGGGCTAGAGACCAAATGCAAGGAAAAAGACTGTGAGAAGGGGCTCAAAGTGGGCCCCATGCTGACCAGAGCATGCCAAGAGGTTGGTGTAAAAGCAACCTGGTCACCCTGTAAAACTGGATCCAGGTACCTCCAGGAAGACATGGGAACAGCAGAGTGCACCCAAGGGTGCATCAAATGCTGCTGAGAGAATAGGCAAGCACCTTGCAAGGAAAGAAGACAGGATTCAGATGGAAGACTGGAGGCTGAGGCCACACCCTAGCACTGGCTTACCTGGGACAGTTTGATTCATTGGTATATGTGAGTGAGTGGGTATGTGTGTCTGTGTGTGTGTGTTACCAGGAAGGGGCTTCATAGAAGGAAATGGGCCTTGTTACTGTAGGAGAGACTGCGGGCTGACATAAAGAAGAGCGTCCACTAGAGTATAAGCTCACTGAAACTCTGCCCAGGGTATATAGGGTGGCGGAGTGAGGAGAGGGGGCCCAGGGCAGGCTTCCAGCAGGAAGGGATGGGACGCTGAGAACAAATGAGGGAGGAGGACACTCACTCCAGGAGCTTCTTGGCCATCTTAGAGTTGTAGATGTTACACTGGTGCAATGGCCCCATGTGGCCTGAAGCCTTGCACAGCGCTTCGTGGAATTGAAACTGGAGCACCAGGCTGAGGAAGTACCTGGGTAGAGGAACATGAGGGCAGACTGGGGAGTCGGTGTCAGGAGTGGAAAGCCCAGGGCCAGTTGGAGGCTGGCAGCTCTGATGCGCAGTGGCCGCGAGGGCCCAGCCGTCAGTCCCAATCCAGGTGGAGGCTCCTTTGTCAAGGTGCCACCTTAGGCTGGCCCTGGAATCCTGCAAGTGCTCTCCTTCTCAGCCTCCCTCCTTCCTGCCCTACTCTCGGGAACAGCAAAGATGCTTTAGAATATTACCATCACCTCCATACATGATCTGATATCAAAGCCCCAAGGATTCTAGGGCATGGCCTTCAGAAGGCTGTGCAACTCGATGGGAGGAGGCGGGCAGGGTGCAGAGAGACAACTGGATCTAGGGCCTTCCCGGGATTCCTTGGCCTGGTTCCGGTGCCTCCAATCCCCCAGCTCCCAGGGCTGGTTCTGCTGGCAGGGCCCAGAGCTTCACCGTAGGTAGGGCACGCTGGCAGAGATGTGGAACTTGGCACCTGGGTCGAAGTCATCTTCTGTCCAAGGGATAGAGGGGTAGAGGCCCTGGATCTTTAACCTGGTGGGGAGAAGAGGGGGCTTGATAGTGCTGCCTGAGGGTCTTCAGAGTCTTTTACCTTGAAGCATTTGCACAGCTATAAAAACTGGACCTGGTGTGCAGAGGACACTTAATGCATTTTCATTGATTAAATGGGTTAAAAACATATGGGACTGGGAATTAGAATAAAATAATAACAGTGGTTAACATTGAGCACTTCCTCTGTGCTAGGAGCCAAGCTGAACACTTCACACAGATTGACTCAGCGCCGTCCTGCTTCTGGGGGGCACAGGAGGGAAAGAGCTAGGCAAGGTCCCCGCTTGCATCCTAATGATGGGGCTTGGCTGCAGGCCAGCTGACCAGGGTGAGTCATCTAGTGAGAGTGACGGAGAAGAAAACAGAGTAACATCCCTTTGGCTTAGTACTAATTAGTCCCATTTTACAGATGAGCAAACCAAGGTTTAGAGATCAGGGAACTGGTGGCAGGACTCAGAACTAGTCCCTGGCAGATACTGATAACTTTCAAGTTCAGGTCTGGCTTTGCCCCTTGGAGCTGTGTGACCATGAGACAGTCACTGGTTGTCACTGAGCCTTATTGTAAAACAGGGATAAAATGACTCATGTGGGATGACACAAAGGGCCCATCATTCCAACACTGGCTTGCTGGAGAACCACCCTCTGGGCTGACAGAGTCGGACGGTTCTTCTCCTGACAGGTGACAGGAGCTTGTCCAAGGCTGAGGGAGTCACCACCCGTCTCCCTCAGCCCCCGGTTTCCATCACCTGGGCGGTGGTGGGTATGGCGGATGGGGAAGGAAAAGGCCCCTCAGGTGCCTCAGTTGGCTGGCGGAAGTGCCCTTGGAGGTGCACAAGCTCAAGACTGCCAGCCCCACCAGTGAGGCCTGAAATCCAAGCAGGGCTGGGAATGGGAGTGGGCAGAGGGAGAAATGCCCAGTCCTGCTTGCTCGTCCGGGGTTGCTGTATGACCATGGGCTGGTCACAGGTTCCTCTGGGAGTGGCCATGGGCTGTTGTAAAGGCTCAGTAAACATGGAGCCCAGTGCAGAGTTAGCAGGCCTCTTCGTGGTTTCCCCACACCACGCTGTGGCCAGCAGATTTGAGCCAGTCAGTCTGAGGCCTTGCAGAGATGGAGAGGCCCTGGCCATGGGTATTTATTTTCTAATCCAACAGCCAGGGGTCAGTGCTGGGGTGTGACATGGATGCCTCTCAAGAGCGATGCTGCTTGGCTCCTGGTGGGCCCCTTTGGCAGCCGGTGCTGACCTTGGACACGCCTGGGGGTGCTAAGCCAGAGGCAGGTGTGTACGTGCACCCGGGCACCAGGAAAAGGGCAGTGGGGTTGCCAAGTCCTTTGCTTTTGCGCCCACCTCTCCCATTTGCCAGATCATGTTCCCTGCTCTTCCTGGCTCCAGCCCTGCCCAACCCTGTGCCCACCTCCTAAGACAGGCAGACAGGTGGAGAGAGGAGGGGGCAAGATAGGGGGTGCAGGCGGGGGAGTGCTGGCCACAGGGTGAGCACCTGAAGTCCTTGCCGTCATAGAAGTCCCATGCGGAGGTGTGCACTCCACCTCCCACCCATCGGTTGGCCTTTCCAAACATTGATTATTTCCAGAACTCAGGAGAAGGGGAAAGCAGCCCCAGGGAGGTGAAGAATTCTTCAGCCTCTTTGAACATTTTCTCCAGCTTCCAGCGCTGTGGGAGAGAGGCAGTGCATGGGGCCCTGCCCAGGGGCACAGAGTGGGCGGGGGCAGAGGGAGGCTGAGTACTGACCTGGCTTTCCATGATCTTCGTGATGTCCTCAGGGGCTTCCTTGGGAATGGCAGGACCAGGTCTACGATGCTGACCCAGGACTGAGCCCACATGTTCCCTGGAAGGGGAGTGGGTGGGCCAAAAGGAGGTAGGAGACCTTTTCTCTCCTTACTGTGTATGTGCTTGGAGGCTTCTTCTGCCCTCCCGGCCCCTGCAGTCAGCAGGCTTTGCCCAGTAGGTGGTCAGGGATGGGGCCTCCGGGTTGATGAGCAACGGGCCCGTAGTGGTGGTGCAGGGCCTGGCACACGTAGGCGTGCAGGTTCGGGTAGAGCGGCTGCAGCTCCTGGAAGAGCTGCTCCAGGTCGTGCTCCAGTGTGTCAGGCTCATACTTGGACCACCACAAGGCCCCCATGTCTTTGTAACCTAGGACAGGAGAGGGGGCTCAGAGGAGCTCACCACCCACACTCCAGCCCTGGCCTGGCAGGTGGGAGACCGAGGTACCTTCTGGGGGAGACATGACACCCGTGATCCTCAGGGTCTTCATCAGACAAATGCAAAAAATACCTCCTAAGGCCACTGTCCATATTGGTTGAGATCAGTGGAAAAGCACTTAGCAAAATACATATTCTGTGCACCGGGTTGGAGAGGGCCTGGGTAAGGCCCTGCTCCTCTCACCCACCTGAGCCCCACCCATTCAAGCCCTCTGGCCACACTAGCTTATTTCAGATACTCCCAAACACCAGCTCCTCCCCTGGCTGCCTGGAACGCTCTCTTACTTCTCGCTTACCTGGCTCCTTCCCACCTTTCAGGCCTTGAGAAATGTCAGAGAGGCCTTCCCTGGCCACTCATCTGAAGCAGGCCTCTCCTTATTCTCCCTCAAAGCCCTTTCCTTCTCAGCGTGTGTCCCAGTGGTAACTGGAGATGTGTGTTTGCATGACTATTGCCTGTCTTCCAGAGCACTGTAAGGCCCCCATAGGGCAGGCACCTTCTGTGTGTTCCCCTGCCCATCCTCAGAACCTCCCCAGCACTGGGCAGAGAGCAGGTACTCAACCTGTGTTTGTAGAAAAACACAGTGAATGAACCACCTTTGCCCTCCCCAGCTGCAGGGCTCAGGGTTCCCACCTCCAGGTTACCACGGGCATTGCTCTGTGCCCCTGCCAGGCCTTGCTCTGAGACCCAGCAGTGTGCGGGTCAGGCTGGACTCGTGCATGGGGTCGGGGGCCTCACCGCTGAGCTTCGCAGCCTTGTTGCTGAGCTGCATGTAGCACTCGAAGGTGATTTGAAGCTGGGGACCCACGGCATCCCACCAGCCCTGCCAGGCCCACAGTAACTCCTTCTGGTCCCAGGAGGGGGCCATGAGTTCTGTGAGGTCTGTGGCCAGAAAAGGGGCCCAGGTGGGACCCCCACTACTGGCCTGCCTTCTGCCCTCACCCATCCTAGGCAGCTTCTGCCCCCCAGTCAGGGAACACAGTGGGGGCAGGGAGGAGGACGAGGGAGGCAGCGTGGAGGGGCTGGGGTTACAGAGTCTGTGGTTGGGCAGGGGGCAGGGCTGGGGTGCTCACCAGGCTCCACCGGCAGGCAGGGACCCTCATTCAGGCACACCTGGGCCATGCTGTATGTTGTCTTCATGGAGGCCAGAAGCTTATTGTACTGGGCGGGGGGGGGACAGGTGTCACCCAGGGCAAGCCCATGCCCATGGGCCCACCCTGGCGCTAGCCCCACCAGCTGGGAGAGGTGGCCTGGCTGGGGCCCCACCAGCCTCTGATTCCCTCCTCCTCCAGAGGCAGCTCTGGGCCCTGGCCCTGCCCCTCGGATCTCCCTCCTGCCCCAGACACTCTGGGTCCCCACCTGGCTGGCCCACCCACCCCCCGGGCTGGGAGTATGTGCCCAGAGACCTGGGGGCTCTGTCCATCACCTCCTGGAGCTCGTCCTTGGTCAGGGCTGCCTTTTCTCTGTTCTGCAGCTTACTCAGCATGCGCCTCACGGTCGGGTCCTGGAACCTGGTGATCTCAAACAAGCCGGCCTGGCTGCCAAAGTACAGCGAGTGCTGGGACTTTTCCACATCCTTGTGCAGCTAGGAGAGGCACCGCGTTTGCCGTGGGAGTTTGGGGGAGGGAGTAGGGGCTCCACACTGAACTCCTGGGCCACAGCCCTCACTCCTCCCCAAGCCCACTTTATGGACTCAGCATCATTGAAGATTTGCCAAGAGGGAGAAGGGAGGGAGTCTAGGTCCCAAAAAGTAAGGAGGTGATACTTTTTTATGAGAGGAAAAAAGCAAGAGATTCTTGCCCAGAGGACGCTTAGGGCTGCCAAGAGGCTGAGAGCCTGCAGCGCGCTTTGACACGTACTGTGGGGCTTCCCTCTTTCCTCTAGCTCTGGGCAGAGGCAGAAGGTGTGGTTCCCCATCCCTCCGAGACTCCCAGGGAGCGCAGGGGAGAAGGCGCTGGGGTGGAGGTGGTACCACACCATGTGCTCCTGATTTTTCTTGGTGGTGTTGGTGACATAGTCCCAGGTGGCCTCCATGAACCAGTTCCACACAACCTGGGCTGTGTGCTCATAAAACTGCAGGAACATCTTTGCTATGGTCTCATTGTAGAACTTGTCTGCAGAGGAGATGGGCATCATGCTGTCCCAGCAGAGGCCACCCCTGCCTGGGCCCCTTGTCCAATCCTACGCTCCTCTGGGTCCCAGCCCCACCTGAGGTCTGCTCATCCTCAGTCCTGAGCCATGGCAAGAGTTGCCCATAACAGAAGAGCACAAATAGGGAAGGTCCATGGCACGTCCATCTTGTGTCCATGACCAAGAGAACAGCAGAGCTGGGGGAGGCTATGGGCCAATCACAATCCCGCTCCATGTTGTGATGTCAGGGGCTAAAGGGTCAGCCACGAATGTCAGAACTGGAAAGCCCCCACCCATCTTCTAGTCCAACTGTCCCCATTTTACAGGTGAGGAAACAGAGGTCCTGAATGGTCAAGCCATACAACCTGGTTCACAGAACTAGTTAGCGGCAGAGCCAAGAGGGGAACCAGGGCTCCTGACTTTTGGGCCAGAGCTTGTATCACTGTACTTGGTCACTTCTCTCTGGTGCTGGAGCCACCCTTGGGCCTTGGCCAGGGATGGGTGAGACCCTTCCCTCCACAGGCGGGGGTCATCTCTGAGCAGGTGGCTGGGCTGATGGACAGAAGTGGCTCTGGGTCTTGACTCTGGAAGCACAATTCTTTCTCCATGTTCTTCCATCTGGGCCTCCTATGTTCACATTTTTGGCTTTTTTCTCTTGGTTGATGTGTGGTCCACCCTAGGGCTGTGCACGACCCTTCCCCTGCCTTGTCCTTACACCTGTTTCCCCAGGGACAGCTTGATCCCATGACTTCTCAGTCGGTTGAAGGTCAGCAGGGCTAGGTTGTGGGGCTGGTACCTTCCATTTGGGGTGCATGCCCTTGAACTCTTTTCAAGATAGTGATTTGATTTTCTTCAGATAAATATCCAGAATTGGAATTGCCATATGGTAGTTCTATTTCTAATTTTTCAAGGAACCTATTTAAATTTTTTTCAGGCCTAAACCAAAGCCACTGGATTCACTTGTGTTAGAGCCAGGATCGGCTGGGGTTGGGAGTGAGCAGCTGGAGGAAGGCTGGGGGCTGGGAGGCGGTGGGGAGATCTGAGAAACTGCCCAGCAACCATAAGCATCTCTGCCCCGGGTAGCTGGTCACTGAGGAGCAATCAGCTGACAGGTATCAACAGGCGCAGCACAGGGAAGGGCTCAGACTTCAGGACCACTGTAGAATATGCTGGAATGTCCCCTCTTCCTTCTGTCACCACCTCCTCTTCCTCTGCCTCCTTCCAGGTAGGCCTGGCCTCATCCACCCTGCCTCCTCATCTGAGGAGGCAGAAACAGAAGTCTGAAGAATTCTAGTATTTCAAAAGGACTAGGGAATAAGGCTGGTCTTGGTGACCGCGATGTTGTTTCTTTGCCCTCCGTCTGCAGCTCAGACCTTTAGGGTTTGCATGCTGGTGCCCTCATGCTCTCCACAAGCTCTGACAAGCAGCATGCTACCCTGAGGTTCACAAAGATAGGAAAGGGGGTGATGTGACCTTTGTCTGGCAGACAAAGAGCTTTCGAAACAGGCTGGGGAGGGGATTAATTAGAGAAGTTGGTGGTAGAAAGCTCGGAACTATTTAGAGGATATGTTTACAGATTCCATTGTCCTAAGCAGTCATAAACTTCTACACTCTTACATCTAAAACACCTCATCTCCACATCCTGCCCCATGGAACAGGCCTGTACAACCAAGTCTGTGTGCAACACACACATAGACACATGCACACAGACACACACGTACACACACAGACACAGCCACATATGGTGGCTGGAGATCGCAGGGTCAAAAACTGTGGGCTGAAGACTATTAGGAGACAGATACTGGGGGCCAGGCCTGGCTGTAGCACTGGGAAGAGGCTCAGGGTGAAGGGTCCTGACAGAGGGGGCCAGGCTGGCAGTGGAAGCCTCTGGTCCCAGAAAACAGGCCAACTTCCATTTGACCAGGTTCTAGGTTTGGCATTTCAATGTCTGAAAAACAGATCTAGCCATGGTAACTGGTAAAAGGACATACAACTAAATGCAGTGTGATCCACTCGAAATATGTCTCAGAAAAAAGGCTGGAAAGATGTACACTAACATGTCAATAGTGCTTATTTCTTGGTGTTGATATAAAGGGCTTTTATTGTCTTTGTGGTTTTCTGTATTGTACAATAAACATGGAGGTAAGAGTTATAAAAATGCTCCTCAAAATGATATTCCCTCAAACCCATATAGGCCTCCCGAGGGAAGGCTCAGGGTGAGGCCATGTGCTGGGGTCGGGCAGGGGTGCCTCTGGCAGCTAAACCCTGCCCAGGAGCCAGTTCCTGCCATGTTCCAGCATTTAGGGCCCTTCTCCAACTGGGGCAAAGGGACCTGGCCTGGGGCCCCACGGGCAATACTCAGGTGGCTCTGTCTACTTACACAAATGGACACGGAGCTGGTGCAGGCAGGAGCCTGAGGTGACCACAGGGCCAGCTTGGCACTGCCAGTGAGTCAGGCACATGCAAGGTGCTCTCCCCCAGGGAACCTGAGGACAGCAAGGAGCCTCCGTCTGGAGGGCCCAGCCATTTATGGGAACAGCCGGGGCAGGACTTCCAAAGCACATGGAAATGTGGGCCAGAAGCCCAGAATGTCTGCTCCCCCTCTGCTTCCCAGAGTCCTGCTGGGCTGGTGCCCAAGCTGGGCAGGGGCTGTGTGCATGGCAGGACCCTGGCTGGCTGCCTGGGCTGGAGATAAGACAGGCGTGGGTGCAGAGTGGTGGGGCCAGACCTCTGGGGCATTTTCCCAGGCTCTTCTTAGAGGAGGATGAAGACACCCAGTGCAGGGACCCGCTTCCCTGCCAGGAGGTGGGAGGACAACCCCGTGCCTGCCCCTGGCTTCCTCATGAGGGACACAGGCTCAGAGGGGGACGGCAGGACCTTTAATTGTATTCACAGAGACTGGGAGGGACTCCATGTTAGGTGGCCTGGGATTGGGGGGCAGGAGCTGCAGGGGTTCGTGGTCTGGGGTGGAGTGGGGAGGGGTGGGGCGGTAGGAGGAGGAGGGCGGGCTGGGGTGCGCCTCGAGGGGAGTGGTGGTCTGGCCCACTCCACGGCCTGTCCTGCTGCTGGTTGCTCTGTGGGGAGGCCTGGCCTGGCCCAGTCCCGTCGCCTCAGGAGTGTCTTAGCTCCACCTCAGAGCCGAACTGGGGCCCATGGTGGGGCTGGCGGAGGTGGTGACGGCGGAGGCTGAAGAGCCGCTGCGTGAGGACCAAGGTGGCCACCAGCAGGGTGACGCCCAGGAAAAGCAGCACCCACTGGCCCACGCGGGCCTGCTGCTCCTCTAGGTCCAGGCCCAGGAAGTTGGCACGGCCAGTGCCCAGGAAGGAGCCTTCCGAACGAGCTGGGCAGGGAAGCAAGGAGAACGAGGCGGTGGGCAGGGCAGGGTCACTCAGGCCGGCTCCCCTGCCCTCGCTCTGAGGTCGGGCTTGGGCCTGCCTGGACTGGGCAGGGGGCTCAGCCGCAGAGAGCTCTGGGGGCCGGACGGGGGCTGCGCGGGGCGGGGGCTGGTACCGGAGTCTGGCGTCCAGTTGTACTGAGGCCAGCCCAGCTTCTCCCCATGCCGCCCGTTTTCAGTGAGGAGCCAGTCCAGCAGCGGCTTGAAGTAGCTCATCATGGCTGAGGCGGACATGTTGGGCTGGCCCGTGATCAGCTGCATGGCTTCAGGCCACGGCTTGCTGAAGCCCAGCTTCAGGGCATCCCTGGGGAGCACCAGAGAGGGAAACTGAGTCAGGAGGACAGGAGGGGAGGCTCTCTGCTCCTCCTGCCCAGCCTACTTCCCACCCTCTAGAGCCCCCGTCCCAGCCTAAGCTCCCCCTTGGGAGGGAGTCTGGGGGTGTGGGTGGGGGGCGGGGAGGGATGACTGGACCCAGGGGCTCCAGTTCCCTGCTGCAGGGGGCACATCGAGGGGTGGCCTAGGCCATAGGCTGGGTGTTCCCAGCCCGCTGGGACCCTCAAGGCTGAAGGGTCAGAGGGTGAAAGACAGTCAAAGGAAGGCTGGAGAAGACTCACGCCAGGCGCTTCCCTGCCGCCTGTGACTGGTAGATGTCACACGTGTGCGGGGGGCCCTCGTGGCCTGCCGCCTGACACAGAGCCTCGTGGAACTGGAACTGGATGACGAAGCCGACAAAGTACCTGGAGGGGAGGACAGGCTGGGGTGCTGAGGGCCCTGTGCCACTGACCCCAACTGCCCTGCCTCCTCCTGCAGCCAGGTTTCCAGGGGAGCCCACCCCGGCCTTCTGAGTCATCAAGGGCCCTTCAGCACTTCCCACCTCCGAGGCACCCCCTACATTGCTCAATGGTTTGACAGGCTGCTTTGGAGGCAGTAAGGTCTCCGACCTTGAGGTACATGCAAGTAGAGGGCAGTTGCTGCCCAGAGGGTCACGTGTATCTGGCAGGGTGGCCTGGGCATGGAAGGCGGCCCAAATGACCTCGTTTGTCCCAAAGCAGCAGGGGTTCCCTGGTGGAAACCCAGTCAGGGCCAGAGCAACCTCCCCAAGCCTGGAAAAGCTTTGGATGTCCTGAACCAGCAGTGCAGGCCTCCCACTTTGAATGCTGAGCACAAGCCATGTGCTACTAACTTTCCTGACTTTTCCTGGAAGACCTTTGCCAAGACTGCTGGTCAGAATTTGGAATGTGCCACCTCTGCCTAGAGAATCATCTACACTAAGTTGGGAAGATCATCATCACATGGTTCTGGCTTCTGTGTGGAAGCGAGCGCCAACATGGGAGCATGGAAACCAGCCGAGAAGAGGGGGTGGGGATCCTCCCTACATGTCATTGTGGGGCACTGTCCCCTGGAGCCCCACCCTGAGGTCTCCCCAGACCCTGCCCTCCCAGGAGGGTTCCAGATCCTACAATCACCCCTCCTCACCCTCAGCAAGTGCCCTCAGCAGCGTGAAGGAGAAAAGAGGCTACACTGGCCGCCTTCCTCTATGCCTGCGTGACCCGTGGTGCTCTTGTGTTGCACATTCCACTGAAGGGCGTCATCTAATAATGGTGGGCTATGGCCTCCCTTTCCCGAGCATGCTCTGTGCCAGCAGCGTGTAAAATGTTAGCTCCTGCCACAGTTCTGTGAAGTGGGATTCCACAGTTGAGGAAATGGATGCCCACATACAATGAGGAATTTGCCCAAGGAAACCAGTAGTGGAGATGACATCTGATCCCAGTTCTGTCTGAACTCTAAGCCCACAACCACAAACCCCAAAGAACACAGCCTCTCAATCTAACTGGTCTCTAACTAGGTTTAACATATTGAAGGTCTTCCAGGTACAGGTCAAATTATATCATAGGCAATATGTTCAATATATCATAAAGCAATCACAGCCTTGTTAAAAAAAAAACAAAACAACAACGCTCAGGTCATGGTCTAGCCATACGTCATGGTTAGTAATGTTAACTGCCCAACCAGCATCTTGTAACCATTAGCCAGTGACAGTAGAGCTTCTGTTTTCAACCGTCTGCAGGGTGGAGGCTCTTGTCATATCAAGAGTGAACCAACGTTCCGCCGTGGTCACAGGTTAGCAGCCCAGGCACCTGTGCCATGCGGCCCGGCCCCTGGGTCACCCTGACGGTAGCTCTGTTTGGACACTGAGCTGCCTCCTCCCTTTCCCATTACCTGATATAAGGCACACTTGAAGGAATGTGGAACTTGGCCCCTGGGTCAAAGTCACCTTGAGACCTGGCCAATGGAGGACAGAGGCCCTGGTACTTCAGCCTGTCAAGGGGCAAGATACATTGGTGGGCAAGTTTGGAGAGAATCAAGTCAGAGAGAGTTGGCATTGTCACTTGAAGGACTGTCCCTGCAGCAGGGGCTCCACTGGGCACCCAGCCTCTGGCACATTGTGCCTCTATGATCACCCCTACATACCCTGCCACTAAGACCCACATGCAGGCATGAGCACACACACACACACCCCAGTTGCAGACACAGGCACCTGCACACATGCTCAGGGACGCCACACACACCCCAACAGCAGCATTCTAGAACCTGAGGCTCCACCACTCCTGGTTGTAGTTCTCCTTGGTGATGCTTCCATCAAACACCCTCCAGCGCCACTGGTCGACAAGGTAGCTGAAGGGGATGAAGGCGATCTTCTCGAGCGCCATCTTCATCAGAAAGTTGATGTCTTGCTCTGCAGAGGGAAGGGAACCTGGCTGTCAGATCCATGCCTGCCTCCTGCCATGTCCTAGCAGCTTGGCAGGGATGGGTGTGTAGTGGGTGGGGAGGGGAGGAGCGGCTACACCTCTTTAGGTTCAGGGACCTTCCTCTTGGGATGGTCTGTGGCTTCCATCCTTCCCGTTCACCCTGCCAGTGGCCCCCTTTGTCTCAACTGCCCTGCCTGTGGGCCATAAGTCCCCTCTCCCCACCTCCCAATCTTGCTGTCCCTTCTTGGTCCCTCTACCCACCATGATCTCCCGTTCCTCTCTCACCGTAGCCGCTGCCCTCGCTACTCAGCAGGTTGATGCTGTGTAGGTGCTTGGGAGTAGACACCGAGAGGGCCAGCACGTCCCCAATGGCCTCATGAAAGCCAGGGTTGGCACCCTCCCGGAAGGTCACAGGCAAGTCCTTGTACTGCATGAAATACTGTATGTGGCCCATTTCGTGGTGGGCGACCACCAGGTCCTCCATGTTCACAGCGGTGCACTGCTTGATCCTAGGAGCAGGGGGTGGGGAGAGGGTGTGTAAGGGGGCTGGTGAGGAGCCTTGGGGCAAAGGGACCCGGTGTACTTACTGCATGCAGAGCGCCATTGCTCTGGGCAGGTAACAGCACTACCGAAGAAAACCCAAAGGAGATAAGGAGCAGGCCTGAGGGAGGGGACTGGGGGGTCGGAAGCTCCTAAAGTACGGCCATTTCTCTGCCCCCAACTTCTCTGAATAACTCCAGCCCACACTGCTGGGGTGCTTGCTCCAGAGGCATTGGGGCACTCAGCTATGGTCAGTGCAGGACTTTCTAGAATGTGGGTCCTGTGTTTTCTCATGCAAATGTTTTGTCTCTCCCAAGACTTAGGCTTCCTGAAGGAAACAGTATCTTAGCCGTCCCACACCCAAAGTGTCTCAGGCCAGTGAACATATTTGCCACAGGACTTCTTACAGCCAGGACTGAACTGGTAGCTGCAGGGCGGCCAAGCCAGAGCCTCTGTCTCCCTCTCCATCCTTGCTCATTGTCCTTTGCGAGCCAATGCAATTCTCCGTGGATTGAACCAGAACACTTCAGTTCAGGGCCCCATTTTCCCCGTCACTTTATAGGGAGGGAGAAGAGCTGCCAGCATCCTTGTTACAGAGAGGTTGGGATCGGTCCAGGCCCCGTGGCTTCTCACCCAAGGGAGGTCCCCCAAAAGAGCTCTCACCCCTTGGCTCTGTCTACACCCAGCCCTTGAGCTGCATCCTCATGCCTTTAAAAGAACGGCCCAGGGCTGGATGATCCAGTGAGCCCTGTCTGGTTTGTTCTAGGCTGTGTGTCTACTATTCTCGTAAGGGACACTATGGCTGTGGCAGGTAATCTTTGCCACTCCTTCCAAGAGGGACGGTCTTCTGTCCCCTCTCTTGTATCTCGGATGGCCTTGATTTAGCCAATAAAATGTGGCAGAAGTGACTCTGTGCCAGTTTTGGACTTAGCCTTTAACAGACCTAGCTGCTTCTGCTTTTGCTCTGGGGGATGCCAGGTAAGGGATATGATTACCTGACTGCCACCCTGTGAAGATGCCCAAGCTGGCCTGGGGAGGAACCCAACTGACAGCCTGAACCAAGGCCCACTGGGCCACCCCAGCCAACCCTGGCTGCCAGACCTTCCCCATTAGTGCAGAGCAGGGACCGTGTGTTGCCTGAATTCTTGGCCTATAAAATCATGAATATAATCCAATGGCTGTTTTATGTCATTGAGTTTTGGGGTGGTTTGTTATGCAGCAATAGATAACTGAAACCCTATCCTCCTCCGACAGCTTCTGAGCCTTGTCAGGGTGAGGGTGGATGTGTGTGAAGCCCCCCGAGTCCTCAGGTGCCTCCCTGTGTCATGGTGCACGCACCCAGGGAGAGGGCCAGCAGTATGCAGGGGCTGCTCCGGAGCAAGGGAAGGCCAGGCAGCGAACGCAGTGCTTACATCCAGCACTGGGGGGACCTTGGCTCTGACCCACAGACTGAGATGGCAGAGCTGGTCAGTGCTTGAGAAGACCCTCACCCAGTGGATGGGATCCCCTGCCAGAAGCCAATGGCCACGCTGGAGCCATGCCGCGACCTCGATCCCCGGCCCCTAGCTCCAGCCCTCGCACCTGTTCCTGCTCACTCTGGCTGAGGGCATGGGCGGGGAGCCTTTGGTGGCTCACCTCCTTGCCTACTCAGCTCAGGGTAAGGTACCTGGCTGCAGCCCAGACACACCTGAAGTCCTTGCCGTTGTAGAAGTCCCAGGCGGAGGCATGGCACACTACCTCCCGCCCATCAGTCGGCTTCTCCAGCATCGACCTGTTCCAGAACGTGGGGGGCACAGGAAGCAGCCCCAGGGAGGTGAAGAATTTGTCTGCTTCCTCAAACATCCTTCTGGGTGTCCAGCCCTGCAAGCACAGGACCCTCTGCCAAACCTGAGGACTGTGCGGACAGAGTGTGTGCTGCTGGGGGGACGGGACTGGGAGAAGGCCACACTGGAAGGCACTCCTGAATCAGAGGTCCCTCTCCCACTGGGCAGGGCCTCCCTTCCCTGAGCCCTGGGGCCACCCTGGAGGAGCAAGTGTGTGAGGAAGGGCCTGGGGCGGACCTGCTTTATCATGGCTTCCGTGGCATCCAGCTTGGGAGCTGAAGGGAAGGGCACCACCAGGTCATAGATGTTGGACCAGGTCTGCGCCCACATGTTCCCTGGAGGTGGGTAGGGGAGCAGATGGCAGGGAGAGGAGAGAGAGATGTTACTTCTTAGGCGAGGCACCATCAGGTAGGGAGCCAGATCCCAGTCGTTCTGACCATTACAGTGTCTCTTGAGCACCTCTGGGTTGCAAACTGTGCTGGGCACTTGACATACATCATCTCCGTCTGCACATGCAGCACATGAGGTCATTACTGTTCTGGCTCACAAGCAGGGACCTTGCTGGCCGTCTAGGAGTCAGGTGGTCCTCACTGTCTTTGGGCAGTGAAGACCAGTGTGACCAGCAGCTGTGTACAAATGCAGAAGCTTTGGGTCTCTGGAACATCTATGTGCAGGTAGCTACCACTTAATGAGAATTAAGTAAACCCCCACCAGGGCCCATGGCTCCTAAGCGAGGGGGCTTTGGTTTAAAGGCAGGCAGGCAGGCCGTACTCCTGACCAGCCACTGGGTCCCCTCCATGTTGCCTAAGGGTTTATGCGGTCACCTGGCAGGAACTACCCTCCTTTAGGAGAGTTTGATGCCTCTGTGTTTGGGGCCAAGAGAAGAGAGCCCAGTTCTCCAGGACTAGGCAGAAGAAGATATTCAGAATGAATGCAAACATCTGGAAATGGATCAGGAAGAGAGAGTTTTCATAGCCAAAGGAGAACTAAGCTTCAGGTGGACACTATAGGGCAAACCAGGGAGAGACTGAGTGAGTCAGAGTGTGAGCAAGCCAGCGGCTAAGCGCTCCAAGCCCAAAGGCCTGAGCGTCCCAGACCCAGAGGGTCCCCTGCCCCAGCTCCCTGGGCCACCTGGCTCATGGCTTTCCCTCCTGGGATCTGTGTTTCTCAGTCAGCAAGCTGATGTCCACTCTGAAATTCTTTGGTCTCCCCAGAGGGGGATCAAGGACAGCTGGTGTCTTGGGCCGCAAAGACCCTCCAGGCTGAGAGGGAATGAAACTGAAAGCCGGACCAGCTTCTGGGGTCTCCCTCATGATTTGTAAATGGTCTGTGACCCCATCTGGCCTCTCTGCTCAACAAGCTCCCCAGGAATGTGTTGACAAAGGCCAGACAGGGACCGGAACTCCATGCCCCCTCTTGGGGAGGCCTCAGCTCCCTTCACAGCCCTCCATCCCTCTCCTGTGTCATGCTGTCTTGAGCTGTGAGGGGTGACGTGGCCTCCGTGTGACAAGATCCCCTCACTGCCTCATCCACGGTGACTTGCGTGGTGGGGATCTGTAGCAAACGTGCTGCTGCATGCCAGCAGAGGCTCTTCCCACACCCAGAACCCCCAAACCTGGCCTTGGAGGCACCCCCTGCAGGCTCAGACCTTTCACTCTCTGGTTGGCGAGCCACTGAACCGCTTCCCACCGGCCCCAGCGCACCCTCCATCCCACTGTGGTCTGTCCTCAGCCCCTACTCAAGGCCGAGCCCCTGCCCTTACCCAGCAGATGAGCGGGGATGGGGCCCTCCAGGTTGATGAGCGCTGGCCCGTAGTGGCGGTGCAAGGCCCGGCGCACGTAGGCGTGCAGGTTCAGGTAGAGCGGCTGCAGCTCCTGGAAGAGCTGCTCCAGGTCGCGCTCCAGGGATGGCATCTCGTACATAGATCTCCACGAGTCCCCTGCGTCTCTGTAGCCTGCAGGGGGGCACAGCCAGGCTCTCTGAACACCTGACCATTCCCCAAGCACCCCTGCCTCCTCCAGGGGCCCCCTCTCGGCAGGCTCACAGTCTCTGAGGACCTCCAAGGGCGCCAGCGGGCCTGGAACCAGGGAGCTGGAGCTGTGGGCGGAGGGACTCACCGTTGAGCCGGGCAGCCTTGTTGGTGAGTTCCACGTATTTGGGGAAGAAAGGGAGGATGGCTCTCCCTGCCTTGTCTCTCCAGCCCTTCCAGGCCCACAGCAGTTCGTCGTGTTTCCGGGAGGTGGCCATCAGACTCGTCAGATCTGGGGCAGGGGTTGAATGGCTTCAGCCCTGAGCGGTCGGCTCCCCTCCCACCTCCCTATGAGGGGACGCAGTCCCAGGACCTCAGAGCTGGAATGAAACAGGTGAGGGCACGCAGAGGAACCACACAGGCCTGTCCAGCAAGATGGGGGGAGGGTGCCATCCTCTCCACGGGGGCCTGTTTGCCATCACAGACAAGCGCCAGCTTTCAACAGTCCTGTGGGGCTCATTGTTCCCCCAGGAGCAGGCTGGGGGTGTGTCTGGGTTGCTCAGCCAGGAGGAGGCCAGGCCAGGGCACAAGCCAAACGCCCAGCTCTGGAGCCGCAGCTCCCCATTCCTTCCCTGTGCAGAAATGTCTCAGAGGTCAAAAGACCTGAGCCCTGTTCTGGCCTCCCTGACCCCACATTACCTGGCAGGTCACTGGACCCCTCTTTCCCTGCCTATGAAATGGGGACAATGCCGGCCCTCATGGGGGAGTGAAAATGGAACAGGAGCACGAGGCCCCAGAGCAGGAGCACACCACGTCCATCTCTGTCCCCACAGGGCCCAGAGCATCTCTCATAAACCGTCACTGAACCAGACTGAATAGGAGACTAGCTGTGGAGACAAAACACAGAGAGCCACCCAAGCATGGTCGGGG